TTGAGCTATAACTAGACATGGCTTCCTAAAATTACTTTCAGTTTAATATCCATTTTGATGATATACCAAGAGTTGGAAAATTAATTAAAGTATCTAACTTATAACTGATTTTAAAACTTATTATTTAGGCACCCATTAAACTGTCATTATATGATATTGTTTCGCAGACATTATAGTCCCTTTGCAATATTCACAAATTTGTTTGTAACAGGCCAAGACAACCTCATTAAAATCAGATCCTAGTTCTTGCTAACGCTAAACAAACATCTGAGGACATCCAATTGTAGGTCATGTCAGACCGACCTTTCACAAACTTTGACCGACAAATGGAATGACTGACAAGAAGACAACAACAGCCAATCAGTAGGCAGCTTCCTCATGCTTTACGGCACTAGTGACAAACTGGTGACTATGTTTCGATACATATTTAGACAAATTCTCGCTAAAAAATTGAAAACTGAACAAATAAACATCCAAAATGGCCCATAGAGGCCTAGATTGTATGGATTCAGTCATAAACTGTCGTTTGGAATGCCCCGTGTAAAACTTTTCAAGGTAGCATGATTAAAAAACACATTCCGACTGTCACTTCCCTCATCTGGTAAGCCACACTCTGATTGGTCGGATGAAAGGTCGTTCTGACGTTACCTGTAATATGATGTCCTCAGATCTTGTTAGGCGGTAACAAGAACTAAGAACTGATTTATAATGAGATTGCTGGCTATGATAGTTATTCCTTCAGTATTAAAGACAATACAATATGTAAGTAATTTCTATACTCTAGTTTAATAAAATATATGTTAATATATGAAAAATTAGACTTTGTAGAATGGACATGTACTTGTTGAAGGAAGAGATTCATATTTTTCACGGTATTCATGGATCATATCAAACTTATACAAGGTGTCAGCTAAGCTGAATTTAGATGTACACCAAATGATTGATATGGGATATTGATTGATATGACTATGTGAGATATTACTATGGGGTATTAATCTGATGTCTACAATCAGGCACGACAGCATGCACTGACATAAATAGAGACAATCCCTGTTTCCATAACTAGTGCTTTAACACTGATGCTTAACTGATGCTTTATTCACATATTAATGCAGGGATTTGAGTGGATGGATAAGAGTATCAAAATTAGGACAGTGGTAAGTAAAATGTATGTAAAATGGATTGAATTGCTATAGCATAGTTGGATGATCATGTGATTCTCTAAGTTATCCCTAAACACACACCTCCGTGTCACATACCTATACTATAAATTAACAAGAGATGAATGAACAAAAAAAAAAGTTGTGTAAAAAAAATTGATTCCTTAATAACATTCACAACCATATGATGGTTGGCATACTGCAAATCATACATGCAAAGATATTTGAGATTCAAATAAATTATTTCAAAATATGTAGAAGCAAACTCTTGCACTAACCTTTATTACAATAAAAGGAATCCATCGTATGAAGATAAGCCATACATACATGCATGCATACATCCATCCATCCATTATGGGAACTTATGTATCAATATTTGGGGTCTTAAATGACGGAGAAGACAACATGAATTCTGGCTTAAGAACCTGTAAGGGACTAAGCAAAAATATTTCACCTATATGACGATGGCTTGTACAATAACTGGGACTTGACGAGGCAAAACAGTGATTGATATTGTAAGCAACAATCCACGATGTCAGGTTAAGATGGCATGCTATGAACCAAGTCACTGAGCCTGACCACCCCATTCATTAAGTCACCTGTTATGACGAGCATGGCACAGGGTGTGAGTATCAAAACGACTATGCCATGTACTTAGTATCAGTGTTTGAATTAAAATAAATTTTCAGGCTGCCATCAGGACCCATTGACTTTAGGAGCTGCCTCCCCTGACTAAAACTGCAGCTTATTACTTATTGTGACAAATGAATTTACACGTCAATCTACTACAGACCATAAAGCCCAATTCAAACTACAGTTCCGACATGACATCTACCTGCCATCGGCCTACGGGCATACACTTATTTCCAACACTGATTAGCATATATTTAGAAATACCTAGATCAGTGTATTGACAGGGTGAATATGGCATTATAATGATATTATAATGGTACTCACACAACTTGATACAAACTGGCTATACTATTTGACAATAAGTTTCAAATTGCAATTTCAATCAAGGAAAAGACAAAATCAAAATTGCTTCTCTTAAATGATTATGTATGAGAATTTCATTGTTTAAATAGTAAGTCAACTTGGTCTTGTCAGTTTTCTTCATCTAATTTTAAAATCTTATCTATACTCATAATTTGCAAATACATTGTAAAAGATAAACAGCTGAGAAAGAATGAGTTGAACATGTTGAATTGCTTGACAAATATATTTTTTTTCAAAAGTATATATTTATATCAGAGATGCATGATTGGTCACGAATGTGCATGAACATGTGCATATTTCTAGCTGAGAATGACATACAAAGTAATACATCAAAATAATCACTGACAACACAGAAATATGACAATAAATTAGTTACATTCAAGATAAACTATTCTTTGGTCATTTCCAAATATAATGTTTCTATCTACCAGCTAGTACCATGACAACCATCACAATTATCACATCCACAATGCAGTTACTGCTATAAGGATCACTAGGCGAGTAGTTTTTATTCACTGGGGAAGTAAATATAATCATTTTCATTCTTACCTGGGCCAGATTACCATATTTTGATAATATTCCACCTCATCATGATGCTAAGCGTTTGTTCAAAGATCAGAAATAACCCAACTACTGTGTCATCATTCCACTGAATCAGATACAATACCATGACAGACTCTGGGACTGTAATTCTACACATTATTGTTGTACAATATAGTTCTTGAGTGGCAATACGATACATGATAACAACCATGAAAACCCACCAAATGAAGAGGAAACATTTCTGTCATCAAGGGTAATGTAAGGTAGCCAAGGCAAAATGTAGTTGTATATTTGAGTCAATTAATAAAACACTGGCTTCAGACCTCTTGTACATGCTGTACATACAAGCAGAAAATAATACTTTACAATTTACATTCAAACCATGTCATGTCAGCCTTGTTTATACCTGTATCATTTGTACTGATACATGGAACAGGTTATTACAATGTACTGAACATCCTATAAGGTACATACAAAAACTTCATTGTTTTTATTATTTATTTGTACATAGAACCAGAGAAGTGCTTTTAAAGGATTCTGTATCCTATTCAAAGTGACATATATTGTTATTATAAATCTAACCGTGTTTAATTAAGAAATAAACGAAGAGTTTGGAGTTATTAATCTTACAAAAAAACAATGCAGGGAGAATAAACCATGAGGCGTCCAGAGCCGAGTGGTTTATTCTCTCTGCAGTGTTTAACTGTATAAGCAACAACAATAAGTCGTTTATTTCATATATGAGATATCAACATTTGTACAGCCCTTTTACAGATGTCAATAAAAGGACAAGCTTTGAAAACATTTATCCGTCTTTAAATAATGATGACCCCCTGAATACAATCCGACCCCAGCAATGTCGGACAACTCAATTTTATTACAGGGTTTGGTATTCTCACAAATCTTTCATCGATTATCTGCACGTTTTCTCCCAATACCAATTATCATATTTCTCCCACTTTTTGATGCGATTGTTTGGCCATTACGTTCATCTGCAGTACCCAGCTACATCTATGGGGAACAACTCACTCTAGACACTGCCCTCTCAAAAATAGCTTCGTCCAATTTACGACGTCATCAAGTTGCAAGCGAATATTTGAATCTCCAGAAATGACAATGATAGAACAATGATTTATCGTAAAATAAACCAAGCCTATTTTGTTCATTGTTCATTGCGATTTATTGCTTAGCTATGTTATATTTAAAGATAGACTCCAGTACTGTTGATAATACTGTCAGCATTCATCAACAAGTCACTTTTGTGTGATAAAATAAATCTGAAGAATAGTATCCCCTGATGTAATGAATACATGCAAAATGTAATTGACAAATAAAACATTCTCTAAAAAAAAAAAATATACTTGATATTAGAGGTGACAACTTTCAGACTTGAGAAAACATATCAAATGTGCATTATTGATGGACAATATGTATACCACTAAGCATGTGAGAAACACACAAACCATGGAAGATATTAAATCCCATACTGACCAACCTTGGACACTTAGGTGGAGTGAATATCTTCCATATATGTTAACATACTGTACTGATTATATATTCTGCAATGGATTAATCTCATACAAATGCTGAAGACTGTTTCTTATCTCTAACATAAATGTTTATTATCAAAATGTAAAATTAACATCCTTAGCTATAAACATTCCAACTAACCAACACAATAATCGTGATGCTGGTTTGTTTGGTAGACATGCACATGTCATTTACAGCCAGTAATTTCTTGAATACTTCCTGCATTTTTTACCAATACCAAATATGTCATGATGGAACAAGACGTTTAAGTAAAGTATCAAAGGCTTTACTCACTGTTGTTTTTCCGAAAGATAACAATTTTCACCCTATATTAGCATGACCACATTTTGACCTACTAATATTTAGGTTAGAAATTGACCATGCATGAACTCTTGTTCAGGAAGCTGGGTTTGTTTATGTGCCACTGCTGCACACTGTTTTATAGGGTTACTGGGGTAAGATCTCTGATCTATCCGATTCTTCATGCGATCTGGTGTAAAATATAATCGTAGATGCAGTTTAGTCAACGCTTGCTTTCTCCTCATTAACATAAACACTGCTTCGAGCGACGACACGGGCTTTACCGTCATTGCATCTGCAAACTCCCTTTCAGCGCCCACCTACTGCCTGCGATCTAGTAAATACCGTATCTGGGGCAAAAAATAAAAGAGGAAATTGGCTGGAAAGGTGGCTAGATGGTTACAATCTATATGGATGGCGATGTGTGATTCTCAAGGCATTTGTATATGTTAATGATATAGGAATATTTACCATCGGAGGACGAGCCATTCAGTTCGACTAGGACGTGAACCTTTCCTGTGGGTTCCAAGTCAATCTGCAAACAAAATAAACAAATCAGCCTAATCGGGGTCGCAGGCAAAATAAATTTCGACGATTAATTTGTGAAATTTGTGGAAATGTATATGGTTATTGAAGCATTATTAATATTAATGATCGGGGTTGGTAGTACACGCGGGCGAACAGCGCCTGATCTCCACACTAGGCGGAGGTTGAGATCGGCACGGACGCCACACCAGTTGTCGGCATTATCTCGAATACACCGATCGGACACTAAATGACCACCCTAGAACAATAACCTACCCATATATCTGCCTTCTTGTCCACCAAATCCTCGAATAAAATGGTGCAATTCGCGACAAATTCGTCAGGCGGAATTGCCGCATCGTGAAACACAGTTAGACCGATGTTTTGTCCATTGTGCACCTCGGCGACAAAATCCTCATTCCAAATTGGGCGACATGTCTTTGCTTTAGAAGTCGTTCTAGCCACAAACAACTCATCAACGTTTATAGACACATATGGATCTATGAGGGTCACTGCTTTGTTGGGGCCCATTTGATGGCGTAGGGCAAAGTCGGTGGGTCTGAGATCCGACGCCTCGCATACCTTTAACTTGACAGAGCCATTAAAAAACACCATTTTCGGCCTAAGCCGCCCATACATCCAATGAAAAAACACACGTTAAGAGCACGTCGTCGCCGTATCCAACTCTCCAAGCGACACAGAATTCCAATATGAGGCACAAATCCTCCCCAAATTGACGACACAGAGCTGTAGATTATTACGGAAGTTGTAATGTGAATTCACCTACAGGGCCCATTCCCTGTACTGAAAATGCAAGGCTCATACGCATGCGCAATAATTATTAGTCGGCGACCTTTGAACTCTGCGATCGGGAGTATGGAACTGCATGGCAGTACTAGATGGCAATACTGAAATAATGCACAAATGGATTTATATTTTATAAACAAATATTCAAATGTACGCCTAGATACAGACATGCTACTTATATATACACGCATTGTGTGTTTGATCGAAATTACGCAGAGGTACAATTAAGCGGCGGTGTGACAATTCTGAAGTCAAAGTTTACCGTTGTAAAGTAGTTGTTACTGACGTTGAAATCTTTTGACTAAACAGAGCATAAACTCTCAGGTGGTCAATTCCCCATGTGTGTTACTTAATTTTCCGTAGTTTATCACAGTAAAGCTGTACAAGCAGTAAATATATCCATGAAGTGTTTATGAGTAATTCTGAACATAAGTAAATAGACTTAAACATACCAGCACATTAAGTCCAGATAACCTCATCAGTTAGGTACGTAGTAAAGTTGCAGTGTTCAGAATACGACATGGCTGGCAGATAGTAATATAACATTGAAATGTATGATAATGCTTTGTGACATTGCCATGGAAATGTAAGATCGATCTTTCACAAATAAAGAACTAAGATTTGGGTATGAACTTTGAGACGAATATGACGTCAGGAATTAGGGTATAAGCAAACTTATTCCCCTGTGAAATAACGTTTCATATTTTGTTGTACACAATATACACAAATAATACTTTCCAATTGTCAGTGACGTCGTCTTGACGCAATGAAATTTTTTTATCATGACTTTTGTTAGACGCCAACAACTAACCTGATGCTATCTGATTTGGAAACCTTCAACGTCTTCTGATGGTTCATCAATACTTATCTTTATAGTAAATGCAATATTGAGCTAATAACTTGTCCATCTTACCAATATTATAAAATGGGCTCTGACAAAAAAACAACAACAAACGATTCGTGCGGGGTTTTTTCAGTTGCGTGATCAATAATCAATACACTATGACATAATATTCATCAATTATGTGCTATCACTTAACATAATATTGGGAATAGTTAAAAAAAAGAGTTCGATATTATGGTGATTATTATCTCGACTAAAGTTAACAGTAAACGCGCCATTCTTGGACATACCTGACGTGCTATGTCATTCGTTGTTACTTGGCACGATTAAGTCAATATCTTTCATAGGTTACAGACAGGACTTTGTTTACCGAATAAAATGTCCCGTGAGGATTCCAGGTTAGAATACGGACAGACGTGTTTATTCAGTATTTCGGCCTTGTGGCCCAGAGTACAACTGAATGAACAAAGTCCAGTTGTAGTCACGTAACTGACAGGCTATTTGCTAAATTAACAACTCTTAGAAATCTTATAGAATATGTGTTTGATAAAGATGGCTACTGACTTAATAATACTTACACCAATGGGTTAAGTAAAGTGTGCATTATTTGTTTATTTACGTATGCATTTTTAAATGTGATAAATATTTATTTCTTTGGTTAGCAAAGGCATCGCAGATAAACAGAACATTGGACTTGTCTTCAATAGACCCAGATTCACAATATGTACAAATAATATGTGCATAGCCTATATCTTTGTTCTTCCTAATATCTTGTATTTTAAAACAATGTAAAGAGATTCTAAACTGACACATTGAATAGGCAACCCTTGCTTCTTGTAAGAGGCGACTGACGGGTCAGGCTTGGGAACTTGCTTGGCTGTGTGTGTCATCGTGCCCCAACGGCGTGAATCGTGGCTCACAATAATCACCGGTTGGTCCGGCCCAGGCTCGATTATTAACAGGCCGCGTTCATATATAGTATTATTGACATATTGCTACGTGAGGCGTTAAACAACAAACAAAAACAAACAGATGTGTGTCATCAAGTGAAAGATTATTTGTTTTCATTAGCCCAGGAAATGACTACTTTCGGGTTGTCAGTGGAGGAAGGGTAACCATGTTGGTAAGATACGTATCACGAAATGCATCGCACTATTCGACAAAGTCGATGTTACGTTCAATCTTTATGATCTATACACTATGATAATGTCTCGGTGGGTATACGCACATTTCACTCTCAGATAAGTACTTCAGACATAAGCAGTAGTGACACACACGCGCGCGCGTGTGTGTATGGTGTGTGTTTGTGTGTGGTGTGTGTGTGTGTGTGGTGTGGTGTGATGTGATGTGTGTGGTGTGTGTGTGTGGTGGTGTGTGTGTGTGTGTGTGTTACGCTTATGAAACTGTCCTAATGAAAGGTATAGCACGGTTTTATAGTTGATTTAGCAGCTTTATAATGGATGATTATACGAGAGTGTATTCATCGCTGTTTCACTAAGACGGTATTGGGAACATGTCTGTGATGTTACAGGCTTTAGCTACCCTACTTCTGTTCCGACACAACCATAAAGTTAACCAAATGTCAAACGATACGTTGAGGTGGTTGACTTGTGGACGACGGAGTTGTCACTAAGTGTTCACACATATTCAACAAGAGAGTTATTGTATTCATTTACAGGATATAAAGTGTCCATATAACATTAGTTCGTGTTGAAAGTCGGTGGTTTCATTGCTGGGCCCGCTCCAATAAGCTTTCGTCCTGCAGCCGCTGTCTGTATATGTATATATACACGCTGGGGCGTGAAATAATGGAGGGCGTGGCCCGACGCTCGCTCTGAGGAATGCAGAACTCCGAGTGTGTCGAGATACCTGCTAATTACAGTCTTTCAGCTCTGATTCACTAGTATAATGTTTCATCTCATAAAACAATTTTGACAGATGAATACGTCGTCAGCTGTCATTATGTGGACTGAAGTTGGACAATCCACATTGGTATTTCATACCTGGGATTTGGGGGTAACTTGATGTGATTCTGCTCCAGTCAATGACTTCTTCGTGTCGGGGTATTTGGTAACTCCCTATGCATTGCAAACATCGCTCCAGTCACAAACAAACAACTTAAAATGATGGACTAAATTTGTGGTTTCAAGCCCACATGTCTCCGTTTACATGGATTACAAAGTCATGTTTTGAAACGCCATGGCAGTCATAATTGTAGACATTATCGCGATCATGACTCCATGACCGTTTGAAGTTTTAGATAAAACCAGTTATATAACGATAATTAATAAATCAAAACTGAAATATGCTTGGCGTATGATATTAGAATTTTTTATACTTATTATAGAGGGAGTATTATAAAATGTAATAAACTCCTCCGTGCATGGTGATGAACCCTTGCCCACAGACACTGTCGTTTAATCCCATAACTCGTGAAGATCCAGGTGAGAATTAATCTTCAGCACCCCATGCTTATTGTCGGAAGAGGCGACAAACGGGATCGTGTGGTCAGGCTCGCTGACCAGGTTGATGCATGTCATTGTATCCCAGTTGCGTAGACCGATGCTCAAGATGTCAATGGACGACCACCATGTCGTTTTTTTTTTTTTACAACCATTAATCGCAAAGAAAAATGAAGAGCGAAGCATGGTTTATTTCACGATAAAACAGTGCTCTATCATGACGTCATTTCTGGAGATTCGAACATGCGCTCGCAACCTGTGGACGTCGAATATTGGACTCAGGGGGAAGTGCCTAGTGAGTTGATCCCCAAAGATGTTGCTGAGCAACACAGATAAACGCGATGGCCGAACGATCGCATACAAAAGCGGGAGATATACACAATCGTTATTAGGTGTTGGTGGGGCGGAGAGGTCGGAGTGGCTGTTGTTGGAGATATACACAATCGTTATTGGGTGTTGGTGGGGCGGAGAGGTCAGAGTGGCTGTTGGGGGTGATATACACAATCGTTATTGGATGTTGGTGGGTCGGAGAGGTCGGAGTGGTTGTTGGTGATATACACAATCGTTATTGGGTGTTGGTGGTGCGGAGAGGTCAGAGTGGTTGTTGGTGGTGCAGAGAGGTCGGAGTGGTTGTTGTTGGTGATATACACAATCGTTATTGGGTGTTGGTGGGGCGGAGAGGTCGGAGTGGTTGTTGGTGGTGCGGAGAGGTCGGAGTGGTTGTTGGTGGTGATATACACAATCGTTATTGGGTGTTGGTGGGGCGGAGAGGTCGGAGTGGTTGTTGTTGGTGATATACACAATCGTTATTGGGTGTTGGTGGGGCGGAGAGGTCGGAGTGGTTGTTGGGGGTGATATACACAATCGTTATTGGGTGTTGTTTGGGCGGAGAGGTGGGAGTGGTTGTTGGGGGTGATATACACAATCGTTATTGGGTGTTGGTGGGTCGGAGAGGTCGGAGTGGTTGTTGGTGGTGCGGAGAGGTCAGAGTGGTTGTTGTTTGTGATATACACAATCGTTATTGGGTGTTGGTGGGTCGGAGAGGTCGGAGTGGTTGTTGGTGGTGCGGAGAGGTCAGAGTGGTTGTTGTTGGTGATATACACAATCGTTATTGGGTGTTGGTGGGTCGGGGAGGTCAGAGTGGTTGTTGGGGGTGATATACACAATCGTTATTGGGTGTTGGTGGGGCGGAGAGGTCGGAGTGGTTGTTGGTGGTGATATACACAATCGTTATTGGGTGTTGGTGGGTCGGGGAGGTCGGAGTGGTTGTTGGTGGTGCGGAGAGGTCGGAGTGGTTGTTGGTGGTGATATACACAATCGTTATTGGGTGTTGGTGGGTCGGGGAGGTCGGAGTGGTTGTTGGTGGTGCGGAGAGGTCGGAGTGGTTGTTGGTGGTGATATACACAATCGTTATTGGGTGTTGGTGGGGCGGGGAGGTCGGAGTGGTTGTTGGTGGTGCGGAGAGGTCGGAGTGGTTGTTGGTGGTGATATACACAATCGTTATTGGGTGTTGGTGGTGCGGAGAGGTCGGAGTGGTTGTTGGGGGTGATAAACACAATCGTTATTGGGTGTTGGTGGGTCGGGGAGGTCGGAGTGGTTGTTGGTGGTGCGGAGAGGTCAGAGTGGTTGTTAAGGGTGATATACACAATCGTTATTGGGTGTTGGTGGGTCGGAGAGGTCGGAGTGGTTGTTGGTGGTGCGGAGAGGTCAGAGTGGTTGTTAAGGGTGATATACACAATCGTTATTGGGTGTTGGTGGGGCGGAGAGGTCGGAGTGGTTGTTGGTGGTGATATACACAATCGTTATTGGGTGTTGGTGGGTCGGGGAGGTCGGAGTGGTTGTTGGTGGTGCGGAGAGGTCGGAGTGGTTGTTGGTGGTGATATACACAATCGTTATTGGGTGTTGGTGGTGCGGAGAGGTCGGAGTGGTTGTTGGGGGTGATAAACACAATCGTTATTGGGTGTTGGTGGGTCGGGGAGGTCGGAGTGGTTGTTGGTGGTGCGGAGAGGTCAGAGTGGTTGTTGGCGGTGATATACACAATCGTTATTGGGTGTTGGTGGGTCGGAGAGGTCGGAGTGGTTGTTGGTGGTGCGGAGAGGTCAGAGTGGTTGTTAAGGGTGATATACACAATCGTTATTGGGTGTTGGTGGGGCGGAGAGGTCGGAGTGGTTGTTGGTGGTGATATACACAATCGTTATTGGGTGTTGGTGGGGCGGAGAGGTCGGAGTGGTTGTTGGTGGTGATATACACAATCGTTATTGGGTGTTGGTGGGGCGGAGAGGTCGGAGTGGTTGTTGGGGGTGATATACACAATCGTTATTGGGTGTTGGTGGGGCGGAGAGGTCGGAGTGGTTGTTGGGGGTGATATACACAATCGTTATTGGGTGTTGGTGGGGCGGAGAGGTCGGAGTGGTTGTTGGGGGTGCGGAGAGGTCGGAGTGGTTGTTGGTGGTGATATACACAATCGTTATTGGGTGTTGGTTGGGCGGAGAGGTCGGAATGGTTGTTGGGGGTGATATATACAATCGTTATTGGGTGTTAATGGGGCGGAGAGGTCGGAGTGGTTGTTGGGGGTGATATACACAATCGTTATTGGGTGTTTGTGGGGCGGAGAGGTCGGAGTGGTTGTTGGTGGTACGGGGAGGTCGGAGTGGTTGTTGGTGGTGCGGAGAGGTCGGAGTGGTTGTTGGTGGTACGGGGAAGTCGGAGTGGTTGTTGGTGGTGCGGAGAGGTCGGAGTGGTTGTTGGTGGTGCGGAGAGGTCAGAGTGGTTGTTGGTGGTGCGGAGAGGTCAGAGTGGTTGTTGGTGGTGCGGAGAGGTCGGAGTGGTTGTTGGTGGTGCGGAGAGGTCGGAGTGGTTGTTGGTGGTACGGGGAGGTTGGAGTGGTTGTTAGTGAACGATGAGGTCGGCGTAAGTGGCTGGGTGGTTGCTTGAAACACAATTGTTTTCTCTTAAAGGAAGGTCCAAACAAGTTATTTGACACCGTACCATCTACACACGACATCCACAAAGTCCAGTGAACGATTAATCACAGCACCATAAACCAGCTCCCATCCACATTACGCCCACAGAATATCACATGGTCGTGCCTTAAGTACATTAGTCATATTTCACGAACATGAAAGCTATTCAGATATTAACTGTACGACGCGTTGGGTACATCTTCCTCCTCCGGTATGTGGACGTGATAATACCATAAATCACACAATGTCAGCTACGTATTTCCATGATTTATTCTTCCCCGGGGAATATTGATGTGTGAAGTAGATGGATAATCAGGATCAGGTGCGATCGAAGATTACACTAAACATATTGAATAATCTTACACGTGTAATGACATCTAATGACGGTGTCGGCCCGGGAGCGCCACATTTGAAATTTATAGTGAGGGCTCAGACACGGTTCATTGACGCGGGATTTGGCGCTCCAGATATCAGGCAAATAAAGTGCTTTATCAATAAACACATCCGCATCGTGCGGAGACTCACTGCCAATTAGCTGTGAACTGATACTCTCGCGATCTGTTTAAAATTAATCGTATTTTTGTTTTATGCATTTAACGTATTTGTACTATTTCTGAATAACTCGTTTATACCATAAAGCGTATTCCTACTAATGTATTTCTACATATGTTTTTTAAAATTTGAAGTTTACACGATATACGGCTTTTCAATTGGACGGGGGTCAGTCACCTGACCGCGAAATTGACGTTCATTAGTGTACAAACGACACAATTTGACGTTCATACGAGACCGTGTTCTTGAAATGATCACTTCCACATTCCTGGGGAAACCCCTGGGAATTCCCTAGCACGAATACATACAGAAGCGTTCTTTCTGATCATTTAGACCCTTGAATATTGAGCTCAGCGTTTAAGTATACATTGAGAAACGTCAGAGTTTGACTGCACGATCGTTAACGATTATGCTCGCTACGACCGATCCTAGTGAACAAAACGAAGAAATGCATACACAAACTGGCAGTGACTGTCTACAGCAATCTATGAGTTTACCTTAGTGTCTATTTGACACATCTTTAATTACCTTTCAATGATCGGCCAATTGATCAATGATGACTAAAACATGGAACCATTAGCAACTCCCGAATTTTGACGTCTTGTACTTGATATAAATGTATTACGACGCACAGTCATTGAGACTGACTAACTGAGGTAGTTCTTAACAGACCTTTCTCATCATTTGAATAATGTGTTGCCTAAGATGTTTCTGAAGAGCAAGTTGTGCAGCCATACGTTCATGCCACCTCTCTTTTTGAGGAACTATTTTACTCCGCGATATAGCTGGTTGTTGTATGGCTGTCCGTGTAAACATGAAGTCACACGTAATAAATAACATTGCGTTTTAGATCTTGGCCAACATCCTTTGAGGTAAGAAATTGTGATATAAAATTATAAGAATTGTCGCAAGCTCCTACGTTCAAACGGTTCGGCCCTCGAGCTCACTCTATGAGGGTTTATACTCCAATGAACTCACACAAAATGAAAGTCAATTCTTAAATGCCTCGTTTTTTATCACAAAACAGTATGCATTTACTGTTCACCGCATTCACGGCTAAATCCTCGATTTTGCACTCGCGGTACCAACAGCAACATCCCCCATAATCAGTCTGCCTCCAAAACCCTAGAGAATAACTTAAAAAAGGAGTCTAACTCAAGTCTAGAATGATTGGGCAAGTCTATATTGCCTCAGCTCTAGGTTGAAATCAAGCAGTTGTTCTGGACTCCATTTGAGTTATTTATTTCATATTTTTTAGATATATATTTTGAAATAAGGTAATTTATTTCTTGGACTAAATGTCAGTCTTCCCTTGAATTATGTGTTCGACTTTCCCGGGACTATCTGATAATAAAAATAATAATATAATATTCATTTGTGACATAATGTAAATTCCGACCCTCCACACCCGACGGACACTACACGACCCATACCATAACACTTTTAAAGACCCTTCCCGACTCCCGAGTTTTTTTTAACCTTTTTAATAAGACAACCTTTTTGGCGAACCCCATCTAAAAACATTTTTCATTTCGTCGCTATACTGACATTACTAAAATATTAAAAATGACTTAATTTATAATATTTCACAAAAAATAGAACAAAGACGTGGGAGGAAGGTAATCACGAATAATTGTTGAATATAAACAGTACCCATGTATATATCATTGGAATTTCCAAAACAATACGAGCAAGTGCTTTGTGCAAAGCTGCCGACCAGAAATTTTGGTTTTCTTGTGTACATTCCCTTAAGAGTTACCTCCCTTGGCGGAAGCAGCAGTCTGTTGATGTGCAGGACGGACGACAGCCAGTTGGTTATGTCATCACTTGGATCATGGCATCACTAATTAGAAAGTCAACCCGAGTACTTACTTCGGCAAGCAGGTATTAATGCAAATGACTTGGTGTGTATAAGCTATTCTTCTTGACCAAAATACTTCAAAGTATTCCCGATGCTCATCCTTCGTTACTGACATTGCCAAGAAGTAACAATCCTGTTATTAACTGGTTATTAGAGGCTTTAGTATCCAACTTGGAGCTTGTCGAATTTGTCATAAGCAAAAATATTTAACTTAACGTAGCCCATGCCCTTCTGAGATATTTTTTCTTCTGATTATTTTTCATTAGAAATGGCGAATGGCCAATTTAGAGATTGACCATTGGCAGAACATGGCCTACCTTTAGAATACAGTACCACAAATTTTTCAAACACGTGACAATACCCTATGACGTAATATGTTGTGAAAATAGTTTTTCATGTTTTAGGATATTTCCTCAATGAACATTTCATGACTTATGTTCATGTAAATGTGTAGACTCATCCAAAAGGAAACCTATGAAAAACACATGAACACGATGAATGGACTATATAAGATGCGATGATGTGACTGAGGTACTCAGGTGGCTGCAAGGAACCGTGGTTAGGAGAGTGATTAGCTTCATATGATCAACTTATTTATGTTGTAATCTAGGCTTTGACAAGACTGAAGCCAGTTTACTCTGTGCAGCACTTGCATTGTCAGCTTCACTGTGCGGAGCTGTATTGTTTTGGTTTGAGAACTGAATCGGGCATGTGACGTCACTCTGGGAAACTCTTTCATGCATGATTTAAAAACACACAGAACCGGGTCCTCACTGTCCCTTGAAACAAAATGTGCACTTATTATGTTTACACATAAAACTGAATGAAGAATAACAAAGTAGGCCTATAATGATATATGGATATTGAGCATGTATGAATATTGAATCATCATGAGCAAAACCTGACTAAATAGGTATATGATTATATACAAAGTTGCATGTATCTCATTGCAAAACATTGCACAAGGGAGTTAACTGACAGTAAAAGTCCACTTTTCACCCTAGCTGAACAAGGTTGGAATTTCATGGCTCGATCATAGCTACACCAGTGGCTATTATGAGTATTGTCCCTTCTATGCCCCTCTTATTGACCAATAAGATTCCACCTCTCATATCACTTGCATTTGTTTCAAACAGGGGACATGGATGGCCCAGTTGTCTAAGGCGCCACGATTTGCTGTGCTGAGTTGTGTCCCTTGGGCACGCCAGAAACCTATGATTGAGGGTTCCAATCCAGGTTCGCCCTGATTATGTTTCTAGGTTTGTCAGCACCATACCTGTGCTCAAAGTGGTAAACGTCTGAGACCTGCATCACTTCGGTATTTCCTGCCACATTAAGCTGACACGCTGCGATATAACTGGAATACTGTTATAAGCGGTGTAAAACCCAACTAACTAACTCACTCACTCACTCACTCAATCACTCACTGTTTCAAACAGCGGTACCCAGGCAAGACAATTTGATTGATAATAAAAGATCTATATTGTAGTAAAATGGGTCTTACCTCAAAACAAAAAACTTGAGCACCTTGATTAAAAACGTGAAAATATCTGTCCACTCCCAGTAAACCAGACATGTTTTTCAAATCCTGCAGAAAAAATATGATTTCGGAATTCCAGGCTAGTTTGGCAAGGGTAGAAACTTCCTTGCCTCAGGAAGGTGAGAGGTGAAGCAAGTAAAAATGTTTGGTTGCTTCAGGTATGTTTGATATTTGAAAATATAATTTAGACAAATGAAACTGTGAGGAACTCTATGCCATTTTTGGACATTCAAAAAAACGTTTTTCAGGATTGAAGTAATAGAAAACAATGTAGGGTGCCTTGTTGGTATATATGAAGGTAGATAAATCAACAATGACATTGTGTTGGCACAACAGTAATACCAGTTACAGCTGTTATGAAGAGAGGGATCATAGGGGAGTAAGGGATCTTATTAGGCTAAATAAGATATTTTTCCCCACAGAATAGTGAGCTGGTCTGTTCGACGTCAACAGAATTTCCAACAGAATCCACGGACCCTGTCAGGATCCAAACTACAAACAGCCACTGATGGAGAGATTCTGAAACTCAGTGACAACTGTGTTAAGGTATTGAACTGTTACAGCAACACACCTATCTCAGTACAACACAGACACAGCTATCTCAGTACAACACAGACACAGCTATCTCAGTACAACACAGATACAGCTATCTCAGTACAACACAAATACAGCTATCTCAGTACAACACAGACACATCTATCTGAGTACAACACAGACACAGCTATCTGAGTACAACACAAATACAGCTATCTCAGTACAAGACACATACATCTATCTGAGTACAACACAGATACATCTATCTCAGTACAACACAGATACAGCTATCTCAGTACAACACAGACACAGGTATCTCAGTACAACACAGATACAGCTATCTCAGTGCAACACAGATACAGCTATCTCAGTGCAACACAGATACAGCTATCTCAGTACAACACAGACACATCTATCTCAGTGCAACACAGATACAGCTATCTCAGTACAACACACATACATCTTTCTGAGTACAACAGAGATACATCTATCTCAGTACAACACAGACACATCTATCTCAGTACAACACAGACACATCTATCCCAGTGCAACACAGATACATCTATCTCAGTACAACACAGATACAGCTATCTCAGTACAACACAAATACAGCTTTCTCAGTACAACACACATACATCTATCTGAATACAACACAGACACATCTATCCCAGTACAACACAGATACAGCTACCTCAGTACAACACACATACATCTTTCTGAGTACAACACATATACAGCTATCTCAGTACAACACAGAAACAGCTATCTCAGTACAACATAGACACATCTATCTCAGTGCAACACAGATACAGCTATCTCAGTACAACACAGACACATCTATCTCAGTGCAACACAGATACAGCTATCTCAGTACAACACACATACATCTTTCTGAGTACAACAGAGATACATCTATCTCAGTACAACATAGACACATCTATCTCAGTACAACACAGACACATCTATCCCAGTGCAACACAGATACATCTATCTCAGTACAACACAGACACATCTATCTCAGTACAACACAGACACATCTATCTCAGTACAACACAGACACATCTATCTCAGTACAACACAGACACATCTATCTCAGTACAACATAGACACATCTATCTCAGTACAACATAGACACATCTATCTCAGTACAACATAGACACATCTATCTCAGTACAACACAGACACATCTATCTCAGTACAACATAGACACATCTATCTCAGTACAACACAGACACATCTATCTCAGTACAACATAGACACATCTATCTCAGTACAACACAGACACATCTATCTCAGTACAACATAGACACATCTATCTCAGTACAACATAGACACATCTATCTCAGTACAAGACACATACATCTATCTGAGTACAACACAGATACATCTATCTCAGTACAACACAGATACAGCTATCTCAGTACAACACAGACACAGGTATCTCAGTACAACACAGATACAGCTATCTCAGTGCAACACAGATACAGCTATCTCAGTGCAACACAGATACAGCTATCTCAGTACAACACAGACACATCTATCTCAGTGCAACACAGATACAGCTATCTCAGTACAACACACATACATCTTTCTGAGTACAACACAGACACATCTATCTCAGTACAACACAGACACATCTATCCCAGTGCAACACAGATACATCTATCTCAGTACAACACAGATACAGCTATCTCAGTACAACACAAATACAGCTTTCTCAGTACAACACACATACATCTATCTGAATACAACACAGACACATCTATCCCAGTACAACACAGATACAGCTACCTCAGTACAACACACATACATCTTTCTGAGTACAACACATATACAGCTATCTCAGTACAACACAGAAACAGCTATCTCAGTACAACATAGACACATCTATCTCAGTGCAACACAGATACAGCTATCTCAGTACAACACAGACACATCTATCTCAGTGCAACACAGATACAGCTATCTCAGTACAACACACATACATCTTTCTGAGTACAACAGAGATACATCTATCTCAGTACAACATAGACACATCTATCTCAGTACAACACAGACACATCTATCCCAGTGCAACACAGATACATCTATCTCAGTACAACACAGACACATCTATCTCAGTACAACACAGACACATCTATCTCAGTACAACACAGACACATCTATCTCAGTACAACACAGACACATCTATCTCAGTACAACATAGACACATCTATCTCAGTACAACATAGACACATCTATCTCAGTACAACATAGACACATCTATCTCAGTACAACACAGACACATCTATCTCAGTACAACATAGACACATCTATCTCAGTACAACATAGACACATCTATCTCAGTGCAACACAGATACATCTATCTCAGTACAACACAGATACATCTATCTCAGTACAACATAGACACATCTATCTCAGTACAACATAGACACATCTATCTCAGTACAACATAGATACATCTATCTCAGTACAACATAGACACATCTATCTTAGTACAACACAGACACATCTATCCCAGTGCAACACAGATACATCTATCTCAGTACAACACAGATACAGCTATCTCAGTACAACACAAATACAGCTTTCTCAGTACAACACACATACATCTATCTGAATACAACACAGACACATCTATCCCAGTACAACACAGATACAGCTACCTCAGTACAACACACATACAGCTATCTCAGTGCAACACAGATACATCTTTCTGAGTACAACACAGATACAGCTATCTCAGTGCAACACAGATACAGCTATCTCAGTACAACACAGATACAGCTTTATCAGTACAACACACATACATCTATCTGAATACAAAACAGATACATCTATCTCAGTACAACACAGACACAGCTATCTCAGTACAACACAGACACATCTATCTCAGTACAACACAGACACATCTATCTCAGTGCAACACAGATACAGCTATCTCAGTACAACACAGATACAGCTATCTCAGTACAACACGAATACATCTTTCTCAGTACAATACAGATACATCTATCTCAGTACAACACAGACACATCTATCTCAGTACAACACAGACACATCTATCTCAGTGCAACACAGATACAGCTATCTCAGTACAACACAGACACAGGTATCTCAGTACAACACACATACATTTTTCTGAGTACAACACAGATACATCTATCTCAGTAAAACACAGACACATCTATCTCAGTACAACACAGACACAGCTATCTCAGTACAACACAGACACATCTATCTCAGTGCAACACAGATACAGCTATCTCAGTACAACACACATACATCTTTCTGAGTACAACATAGACAAAGCTATCTCAGTACAACACAGACACATCTATCTCAGTACAACACAGACACATCTATCTCAGTACAACACAGACACAGCTATCTCAGTACAACACAGACACAGCTATCTCAGTACAACACATACACATCTATCTCAGTACAACACAGACACATATATCGCAGTGCAACACAGATACAGCTATCTCAGTAAAACACATACACATCTATCTCAGTACAACACAGATAAATCTTTCTCAGTGCAACACAAATACAACTATCTCAGTACAACACAGATATAGCTTTCTCAGTACAACACAGCCACAGCTATCTCAGTACAACACAGATACAGCTATCTCAGCACAACACAGATACAGCTATCTCAGTGCAACACAGATACATCTATCTCAGTACAACACAGATACAACTATCTCAGTACATCACAGATACAGCTATCTCAGTACAACACAGATACATCTATCTCAGTACAACACAGATACAGCTATCTCAGTACAACACAGATACAGCTATCTCAGTACAACACAGACACGGCTATCTCAGTACAACACAGATACAGCTATCTCAGTATAATACAGATACAGCTATCTCAGTACAACACAGATACAGCTATCTCAGTACAACACAGACACGGCTATCTCAGTACAACACAGATACAGCTATCTCAGTACAACACAGATACAAATATCTCAGTACAGCACAGATACAGCTATCTCAGTACAACACAGACACATCTATCTCAGTACAACACAGATACAGCTATCTTAGTACAACACAGATACAACTATCTCAGTACAACACAGACACAGCTATCTCAGTACAACACAGGTACAGCTTTCTCAGTACAACACAGACACGTCTATCTCAGTACAACATAGACACAGCTATCTCAGTACATCACAGATACAGCTTTCTCAGTACAACACAGACACAGCTATCTCAGTACAACACAGATACAGCTATCTCAGTACAACACAGACACAGCTATCTCAGTACAACACAAAAACATCTATCTCAGTACATCACAGATACATCTATCTCAGTACAACACAGACACATCTATCTCAGTACAACACAGATACAACTATCTCAGTACAACACAGATACATCTATCTCAGTACAACACAGACACAGGTATCTCAGTACAACACAGACACAAGTATCTCAGTACAACACAGACACAAGTATCTCAGTACAACACAGACACAGGTATCTCAGTACAACACAGACACAGCTATCTCAGTACAACACAGTTATCTCAGTACAACACAGACACAGCTATCTCCGTACAACACAGACACAGGTATCTCTTTACAACACAGACACAGCTATCTCAGTACAACACAGGTACAGTTATCTCAGTACAACACATACACACATATCTCATTACAACACAGACACAGCTATCTCAGTACAACACAGATACAGTTATCTCAGTACAACACAGACACAGCTATCTCAGTACAACACAGACACATCTATCTCAGTACAACACAGACACAGGTATCTCAGTACAACACAGATAAAGTCATCTCAGAACAACACAGACATTGCTATCTCAGTACAACAGAAATACAGATATCTCAGTTCAACACAGATACAGATATCTCAGTATAACGCACACACAACCTTCTCAGGGAACAATTCTGTCTTAGGGTTGAGAAAGTTGGTTTTATATTTTCAGAAGTGTTGGTATGTGACATGTTTTGGTTAAATCCCGAAAAAGATTTAGTTATACCACCTCTTATATAATCCTATTCAATCATTACTGTTGTCAGGAGACAATACCCATACTCTCTCTCTCTCTCTCTCTCTCTCTCTCTCTCTCTCTCTCTCTCTCTCTCTCTCTCTCTGAATATGATATTAGTCTTGACGTGTCATCGGTTGTGAATTTCTTTGTGCAGCAACTGAAGAAGCTGAGTGAGAGCGAGGTGACGTGTTTGCGGGTGATTGTGGAGGGAGGAGGCTGCTCTGGCTTCCAGTACAAGTTCCAGCTGGACTCCAACATGGTTGAAGGGGAGGACAGGTGAGGAAGACTCTGACACTCATGTGTTGTAGCATGGTGAGGAAGACTCTGACACTCATGTGTTGTAGCGTGGTGAGGAAGACTCTGACACTCATGTGTTGTAGCGTGGTGAGGAAGACTCTGACACTCATGTGTTGTAGCATGGTGAGGAAGACTCTGACACTCATGTGTTGTAGCGTGGTGAGGAAGACTCTGACACTCATGTGTTGTAGCATGGTGAGGAAGACTCTGACACTCATGTGTTGTAGCGTGGTGAGGAAGACTCTGACACTCATGTGTTGTAGCATGGTGAGGAAGACTCTGACACTCATGTGTTGTAGCATGGTGAGGAAGACTCTGACACTCATGTGTTGTAGCGTGGTGAGGAAGACTCTGACACTCATGTGTTGTAGCGTGGTGAGGAGGACACCCTGACACTCATGTGTTGTAGCATGGTGAGGAAGACTCTGACACTCATGTGTTGTAGCGTGGTGAGGAAGACTCTGACACTCATGTGTTGTAGCATGGTGAGGAAGACTCTGACACTCATGTGTTGTAGCGTGGGGAGGAAGACTCTGACACTCATGTGTTGTAGCATGGTGAGGAAGACTCTGACACTCATGTGTTGTAGCATGGTGAGGAAGACTCTGACGCTCATGTGTTGTAGCGTGGTGAGGAAGACTCTGACACTCATGTGTTGTAGCGTGGTGAGGAAGACTCTGACACTCATGTGTTGTAGCGTGGTGAGGCAGACTCTGACACTCATGTGTTGTAGCATGGTGAGGAGGACTCCCTGACACTCATGTGTTGTAGCGTGGTGAGGAGGACACCCTGACACTCATGTGTTGTAGCATGGTGAGGAGGACTCCCTGACACTCATGTGTTGTAGCGTGGTGAGGAAGACTCTGACACTCATGTGTTGTAGCGTGGTGAGGAAGACTCTGACACTCATGTGTTGTAGCGTGGTGAGGAGGACTCCCTGACACTCATGTGTTGTAGCATGGTGAGGAAGACTCTGACACTCATGTGTTGTAGCGTGGTGAGGCAGACTCTGACACTCATGTGTTGTAGCGTGGTGAGGAAGACTCTGACACTCATGTGTTGTAGCGTGGTGAGGAGGACACCCTGACACTCATGTGTTGTAGCGTGTAAGGAGGACACCCTGACGCTCATGTGTTGTAGCATGGTGAGGAGGACTCCCTGACACTCATGTGTTGTAGCGTGGTGAGGAGGACACCCTGACACTCATGTGTTGTAGCGTGGTGAGGAGGACACCCTGACACTCATGTGTTGTAGCGTGGTGAGGAGGACACTCTGACACTCATGTGTTGTAGCGTGGTGAGGAGGACTCCCTGACACTCATGTGTTGTAGCATGGTGAGGAAGACTCTGACACTCATGTGTTGTAGCGTGGTGAGGAGGACACCCTGACACTCATGTGTTGTAGCGTGGTGAGGAGGACTCCCTGACACTCATGTGTTGTAGCATGTTTAGGAGGACTCCCTGACACTCATGTGTTGTAGCGTGGTGAGGAGGACTCCCTGACACTCATGTATTGTAGCATGGTGAGGAGGACTTCCTGACACTCATGTGTTGTAGCGTGGTGAGGAGGACACCCTGACACTCATGTGTTGTAGCATGGTGAGGACTCCTCCCTGACACTCATGTGTTGTAGCGTGGTGAGGAGGACACCCTGACACTCATGTGTTGTAGCGTGGTGAGGAGGACACCCTGACACTCATGTGTTGTAGCGTGGTGAGGAGGACTACCTGACACTCATGTGTTGTAGCATGGTGAGGAGGACTTCCTGACACTCATGTGTTGTAGCGTGGTGAGGAGGACTCCCTTTACACTCATGTGTTGTAGCGTGGTGAGGAGGACACCCTGACACTCATGTGTTGTAGCGTGGTGAGGAGGACTACCTGACACTCATGTGTTGTAGCATGGTGAGGAGGACTTCCTGACACTCATGTGTTGTAGCGTGGTGAGGAGGACTCCCTTTACACTCATGTGTTGTAGCATGGTGAGGACTCCTCCCTGACACTCATGTGTTGTAGGGTGGTGAGGAGGACACCCTGACACTCATGTGTTGTAGCGTGGTGAGGAGGACACCCTGACACTCATGTGTTGTAGCGTGGTGAGGACTCCCTGACACTCATGTGTTGTAGCATGGTGAGGAAGACTCTGACACTCATGTGTTGTAGCGTGGTGAGGAGGACACCCTGACACTCATGTGTTGTAGCGTGGTGAGGAGGACTCCCTGACTTTCATGTGTTGTATCATGGTGAGGAGGACTCCCTGACACTCATGTGTTGTAGCGTGGTGAGGAGGACTCCCTGACACTCATGTGTTGTAGCGTGGTGAGGACTCCCTGACACTCATGTGTTGTAGCGTGGTTAGGATTCCTCCCTGACACTCATGTGTTGTAGCATGGTGAGGAGGACTCCCTGACACTCATGTGTTGTAGCGTGGTGAGGAAGACTCTGACACTCATGTGTTATAGCATGGTGAGGAGGACTCCCTGACACTCATGTGTTGTAGCGTGGTGAGGAGGACACCCTGACACTCATGTGTTGTAGCATGGTGAGGACTCCTCCCTGACACTCATGTGTTGTAGCATGGTGAGGAGGACTCCCTGACACTCATGTGTTGTAGCGTGGTGAGGAGGACACCCTGACACTCATGTTTTGTAGCATGGTGAGGAGGACACCCTGACACTCATGTGTTGTAGCATGGTGAGGACTCCTCCCTGACACTCATGTGTTGTAGCGTGGTGAGGAGGACTCCCTGACACTCATGTGTTGTAGCATGGTGAGGAGGACACCCTGACACTCATGTTTTGTAGCATGGTGAGGAGGACACCCTGACACTCATGTGTTGTAGCGTAGTGAGGAGGACACCCTGACACTCATGTGTTGTAGCGTGGTGAGGAGGACTCCCTGACACTCATGTGTTGTAGCGTGGTGAGGAGGACACCCTGACACTCATGTGTTGTAGCGTAGTGAGGAGGACACCCTGACACTCATGTGTTGTAGCGTGGTGAGGAGGACTCCCTGACACTCATGTGTTGAAGCATGGTTAGGACACCTCCCTGACACTCATGTGTTGTAGCATGGTGAGGAGGACACCCTGACACTCATGTGTTGTAGGGTGGTGAGGAGGACACCCTGACACTCATGTGTTGTAGGGTGGTGAGGAGGACTCCCTGACACTCATGTGTTGGAGCATGGTGAGGAAGACACCCTGACACTCATGTGTTGTAGGGTGGTGAGGAGGAGTCCCTGACACTCATGTGTTGTAGCATGGTTAGGAGGACTCCCTGACACTCATGTGTTGTAGCGTGGTTAGGACTCCTCCCTGACACTCATGTGTTGTAGCATGGTGAGGAGGACTCCCTGACACTCATGTGTTGAAGCATGGTTAGGACACCTCCCTGACACTCATGTGTTGTAGCATGGTGAGGAGGACACCCTGACACTCATGTGTTGTAGGGTGGTGAGGAGGACACCCTGACACTCATGTGTTGTAGGGTGGTGAGGAGGACTCCCTGACACTCATGTGTTGGAGCATGGTGAGGAAGACACCCTGACACTCATGTGTTGTAGGGTGGTGAGGAGGACTCCCTGACACTCATGTGTTGTAGCATGGTGAGGAGGACTCCCTGACACTCATGTAATGTAGCGTGGTTAGGACTCCTCCCTGACACTCATGTGTTGTAGCATGGTGAGGACTCCTCCCTGACACTCATGTGTTGTAGCGTGGTGAGGAGGACACCCTGACACTCATGTGTTGTAGCATGGTGAGGAGGACTCCGTGACACTCATGTGTTGTAGCGTGGTGAGGAGGACACCCTGACGCTCATGTGTCGTAGCATGGTGAGGAGGACACCCTGACACTCATGTGTTGTAGCGTGGTGAGGAGGACACCCTGACACTCATGTGTTGTAGCGTGGTGAGGAGGACACCCTGACACTTATGTTTTGTAGCATGGTGAGGAGGACACCCTGACACTCATGTGTTGTACCATGGTGAGGACTCCTCCCTGACACTCATGTGTTATAGCATGGTGAGGACTCCTCCCTGACACTCATGTGTTGTAGCATGGTGAGGAGGACTCCCTGACACTCATGTGTTGTAGCATGGTGAGGAGGACTCCCTGACACTCATGTGTTGTAGCGTGGTTAGGACTCCTCCCTGACACTCATGTGTTGTAGCATGGTGAGGACTCCTCCCTGACACTCATGTGTTGTAGCGTGGTGAGGAGGACACCCTGACACTCATGTGTTGTAGCATGGTGAGGAGGACTCCCTGACACTCATGTGTTGTAGCGTGGTGAGGAGGACACCCTGACGCTCATGTGTCGTAGCATGGTGAGGAGGACACCCTGACACTCACGTGTTGTAGCGTGGTGAGGAGGACACCCTGACACTCATGTGTTGTAGCATGGTGAGGAGGACTCCCTGACACTCATGTGTTGTAGCGTGGTGAGGAGGACACCCTGACACTTATGTTTTGTAGCATGGTGAGGAGGACACCCTGACACTCATGTGTTGTACCATGGTGAGGACTCCTCCCTGACACTCATGTGTTATAGCATGGTGAGGACTCCTCCCTGACACTCATGTGTTGTAGCGTGGTGAGGAGGACACCCTGACACTCATGTGTTGTAGCATGGTGAGGAGGACTCCCTGACACTCATGTGTTGTAGCGTGGTGAGGAGGACACCCTTACACTCATGTGTTGTAGCATGGTGAGGAGGACACCCTGACACTCATGTGTTGTAGCGTGGTGAGGAGGACACCCTTACACTCATGTGTTGTAGCATGGTGAGGAGGACACCCTGACACTCATGTGTTGTAGCATGGTGAGGAGGACTCCCTGACACTCATGTGTTGTAGCATGGTGAGGAGGACACCCTGACACTCATGTGTTGTAGCATGGTTAGGAGGACTCCCTGACACTCATGTGTTGTAGCGTGGTTAGGACTCCTCCCTGACACTCATGTGTTGTAGCATGGTGAGGAGGACTCCCTGACACTCATGTGTTGTAGCGTGGTGAGGACTCCCTGACACTCATGCGTTGTAGCGTGGTGAGGAGGACACCCTGACACTCATGTGTTGTAGCGTGGTGAGGAGGACTCCCTGACACTCATGTGTTGTAGCATGGTGAGGAGGACTGCTGTGGCTCATATGTTGTAGCATGGCTAAGGAAGCTTGAAGATAGCTGTGCCCATTTAAATGTTAGTCATGTCTATTTAATTTTCTATCAGTATTTTAAGATACTTGTATTGTCATAAGCACATATGTCACATATAAATAATTACACACATTCTTTTATTCCAGCAACTGTTAGGTTATGGAACACTATTCCTGCAGCAGGTAGAAATTGTATACTACATCCCAATTCAAGACATACATACAAAAAGAGCAAGTTATTGCACCTTCATATTTTTCCTATGTTGTCAGAAAGTTGAATATTTATCATACTCGATTAAGATACACGAAAAGCCAGTTAAATTATTATTTATACAGAATAGAGATAAAATGTGATCCAATATGTCAATGTGGTAATCCATGTGAAAATGCATTTCATTATTTGTTAGAGTGTCCATTATATGTCCACCAAAGAAAATCTATGTTAATAATAATTTGGGACATTTTAGAGAACACTGTGAACAAAATTGTTAAATTAGATTTAAGTTTGATGTTAAATAGAAATGAATGTTTGTCCATTATCGAAAACCAACATATCTTTAAGGCAGCGAAATGTTTATAAGTCATACAAAGAGATTTGGGTAACACTTAAATGTAAATATACTAGTCTCTCTTTTGTACATTTCATTTGTTAGCTATACACTCATCTTCTTTTCTATTTTCCTTGTATATGATTTACTGTACAAGTTTTTGTAAATACCATGGAGAGGGAGTTCTAAGTTGGATAACTTGTTCCCAATCCATTTCAATCTGAATAAAATATGTTTAAACTTATATAAATAATTTGAATCCCTCCAATAAGATTGTATGAGAAGATATACCTGTGTCATCTCCGTGTCATCTTTCTCAATTCACAGTCAATAATTACTCATTTGCTGTATGATGTTTGACAGTTGTGAATGTTGCAGGGTGTTTGAGCGAGATGGCGTGCGGGTGGTTGTGGATGAAGATTCAATAGAGTACCTGACTGGATCCACTGTGGACTACCAAGAAGAACTCATCCGATCAGCGTTCAGGATAATCAACAATCCTAAGGCTGAGCAGGGCTGCTCATGTGGGGCTTCCTTTGCCCTCAAGTTGTGAACTGATGCCATGTGGAACAGAGACAGACTGAGACAACAGCAGAGATATAGTTTGGATATAGTTTTCATCCTGCTTGCTACAGGACTTGTGAAAGCACATGTTAAGCAAAATATGGCTGATTCCAGTGGAGCAGTGAATACTGTATTATGCCAGAATTTAGAAATATTAATAAATAAATAAATTGCAAGTGATTTCATGGCATTGGATTGACTAACCAAGCAATTTTTCATGTGTTTGTTCCCATAAACTGATTTATTGGGCCTTGCCCACTAATGGACTTGGTTTTTGATTGGTTGATAATAGAGTGGGTTGGGCTTGTGTTGTATTATCGTGCTGAATGATGTCGATGATTGTAGTGTATATTTTTGTGTGTTTTAATGATTAAAAAAGCAGCCTATGAAGTAATTATGGTTGACATATTTATTTTTATGGAATGACTTCAATATGGAGTGATAAATGTAATAAGCAGTGAGCACACTTTTCATAAATGTACTTCACAGATTTACAGTGTGCACTCCGGTATTTATGTTTATACCTACTTTTGTAAGTCAATTCTTAGATATTGCAGAAAGAAGTGAACAGATCACCACTTTTTTCCAAGGATTTTGTAGGATTTCTCTCAATTATTGTTTATGCTGGAAATTATTTCTGTTAAGGATGAAATGTGTTGGTCAGTTGAGTGAGTGAGTTCTGGTTTTATGCAGCTTTTAGCAATATTCCAGCAATCTCACAACAATATTGGTCAGTTGAAGAACATGACAATACCATATATTTGCATGTGTGCATATATCTCCACAGCCAGTGTCCATTCTAGAGTGTAGCATGTCAACAACCAATCTCCACAGCCAGTGTCCATTCTAGAGTGTGGCATGTCGGCAACCAATCTACACAGCCAGCGTCCATTCTAGAGTATGGTATGTCAACAACCAATCTCCACAGCCAGTGTCCATTCTAAAGTGTAGCATGTCAGCAACCAATCTACACAGCCCGTGTCCATTCTAGAATGTGGCATGTCGGCAACCAATCTCCACAGCCAGCGTCCATTCTAGAGTGTGGCATTTCGGCAACCAATCTCCACAGCCAGTGTCCATTCTAGAGTATGGCATGTCAACAACCGATCTACACAGCCAGTGTCCATTCTAGAGTGTGGCATGTCAACAACCGATCTACACAGCCAGTGTCCATTCTAGAGTGTGGTATGTCGGCAACCAATCTACACAGCCAGCATCCATTCTAGAGTGTGGCATGTCGGCAACCAATCTACACAGGCAGTGTCGATTCTAGAGTATGGCATGTCAACAACCGATCTACACAGCCAGTTTCCATTCTAGAGTGTGGCATGTCAACAACTGATCTACACAGCCAGTGTCCATTCTAGAGTGTGGCATGTCGGCAACCGATCTACACAGCCAGTGTCCATTCTAGAGCGTGGTATGTCGGCAACCAATCTACACAGCCAGTATCCATTCTAGAGTGTGGCATGTCAACAACCAATCTCCACAGCCCGTGTCGATTCTAGAGTATGGCATGTCAACAACCGATCTACACAGCCAGTGTCCATTCTAGAGTGTGGCATGTCAACAACCGATCTACACAGCCAGTGTCCATTCTAGAGCGTGGTTTGTCGGCAACCAATCTACACAGCCAGTGTCCATTCTAGAGCGTGGTATGTCGGCAACCAATCTACACAGCCGGTGTCGATTCTAGAGTATGGCATGTCAACAACTGATCTTCACAGCCAGTGTCCATTCTAGAGTGTAGCATGTCAACAACCAATCTCCACAGCCAGTGTCCATTCTAGAGCGTGGCATGTCAACAACCAATCTCCACAGCCAGCGTCCATTCTAGAGTGTGGCATGTCAACAACCGATCTCCACAGCCAGCGTCCATTCTAGAGCGTGGTATGTCGGCAACCAATCTACACAGGCAGTGTCCATTCTAGAGTGTGGCATGTCAACAACCGATCTACACAGCCAGTGTCCATTCTAGAGTGTGGCATGTCGGCAACCAATCTCCACAGCCAGTGTCCATTCTAGAGCGTGGTATGTCGGCAACCAATCTACACAGCCAGTGTCCATTCTAGAGTGTGGCATGTCAACAACCGATCTACACAGCCAGTGTCCATTCTAGAGCGTGGTATGTCGGCAACCAATCTACTCAGCCGGTGTCCATTCTAGAGTGTGGCATGTCAACAACAAATCTCCACAGCCAGTGTCCATTCTAGAGTGTAGCATGTCGGCAACCAATCTACACAGCCAGTGTTCATTCTAGAGTATGGCATGTCGGCAACCAATCTACACAGCCAGTGTCCATTCACGAGGTAGGACCGGGTTTATACAATACAGATCTTGATAATCAGTCAGATTGTCTTGACTGGCCCATACCATTTTGTTTGAAGCAAATGATATGAGAGGTGGAATCTGATTAGTCAATAGGAGTGACATAGAAGGGACGAAACTCGTGATAGACACGAAATTCCTGCCTAGTTCGGCAAGGGTGGAAACTGGACTTTTATAGTCAGTTGAACTCCCTTTCCTTGCGAAGATTAGTTTAATTCGGTCCGACTAAATAATGTTGGGAAGCGTCCGGCAATGCCAGTAAGCATCAGGGAACGTCTGGGAGAATGATACTAAATAATAAAGTGTATTCTATACAATTGTGTTCTTGTATTAATTATAATAAAGTGCCATTAATGAGGGTGCAACCCCCTCCTCTCCTGAATCAGCATGCTCTGAGTCTCATTGCTCACCTTTGAACAGAGACCACATAAATATTATGGTCTCTGCTTTAAATCCTCAATACTATTTAACACAAATCTCAAAAGCATTGAGACAAATATCGAAACAATAGAGTATTTGAAGAAAATATGTACATTACTAATGTAACCATTTATTTACATTTTTGTGTCTAAATATTAGTACATTTCATAGACGTTTCTGCATTGTATTACAGTCAATCAAGCCGTCTGTGCTACTTCAGGATTCAGTATTTTTGGCAGTGGGCACTCTTCCACTTAGAACAAGACAGTGATATAACAGTAACTATGTATAAAATAAACTCGATGAAGCTTAAGAGTGATTTAGCGACCTCAATCTTCGAAACTCTCAATTATCTTATATATTGTACATAAGAACCGATAACTTTAACTTACGCGGGTTAGAATTGGTCTTCAGCAACCCATGCTTGTCGCAAGAGGCGACTAACGGGATCCTGTGGCCGATTGGTCGATCACTGAAAGGCTATTGTAGAGATGTGACAAATAGATACTAAGGTACATTCATATATTTCTGTTGACTGTCACTGTAGTCTATACACGGATCAAGTCGATACGACGGTGGTTTTAATCTGCTTTTCTTCGTTTTATTCTTTAACATTGGTTGCATTCATAAAAATATTATGGTCTCTGCTTTAAATCCTCAATACTATTTAACACAAATCTCAAAAGCATTGAGACAAATATCGAAAAAATAGAATATTTGAAGAAAATATGTACATTACTAATGTAACCATTTATTTACGACGGTAGTTTTAATCTGCTTTTCTTCGTTTTGTTCTTTAAGATTGGTTGTATTCATATAAATATTATGGTCTCTGCTTTATATCCTCAATTCCATTTAAAACAGATCTCAAAAGCATTGAGACAAATATCGAAAAAATAGAATATTTGAGCATTACTAATGTTTTGTTCTTTAAGATTGGTTGCAGCGAGGATATATCCTTGAACGGGCATGCAATCAAATTCTCTAACTTATCCCAAAGTATGCTAACGCTCTTAATCCAAGATTAAAAGGTCCTAATGATGAGAAACAACGCTTCTGTATTTATCCGTGCTGGGGAATTCCCACGGGTTCCCCCAGGAATGTGGAAGTAGGCCGTCAGTGTTTACGTCGTTTTAAGAACACGGTCTCATGAAAACGTATGAACGTCAAGTTGTGTCGTTCATGTGACCGACCTCTCATCCAATGGAAAAGCCGTATATCGTGTAAACTTCAAATTTAAAAATAAATTATTGATCCGCTTTGTTGGATAAAAAAAACACCCTTCATGGCCTATTTAATATTTCTTACCTTGTTACTTTTTAGTTTTTTGGGGCTGTGTTTTATTTATTTGTAAGTCCATTTACAGTGGATATTTTCAAGATTGTACCAAAATGAGAAAGACACCTGGCTGACTGCACTTCATTATTTAACTCCCAGACGTCTGATGAAATCTTCCTGACGATCCCGGACGTTAAATGATAGGACCCGTTTAATTGGCCCTTATAACTTATTAACGTTGAAACTATAATGGCTGATGCTAATATGTGTAAAGATCTCTATATGAACGTGGGAGAGTGATGTGGACTCATAACGACACAATACAGTTGATATCAAGGGTTTAGGATACTTTGGACAGCAGGATGGCAATTCAAACAGAACCCTGTTTAGTGCCACAGTCGAATCGTGGACTTCCGTTCACGACGAAGCATTACAACCGAATTAGAGTAGCAATGCCTTGGACTATTCGTACTCGATCACATATATGACGTATGGAAAATATTGAACTTGTATCCCCAGTTGTTTCCAGGAAAATCTGACCCATTTGGGGGTACTGTGTTCCATGTTAAGAAACGTAAGGCTAGGGCCATAACTCTGTCAAATAGTAATTCCCGATGCTGGGTTTTGAATTTGATTCAGAACTTGAATCAGAATATGTATCCCTTTACGATCTCTGCAAAATGGTTTCCTTGTATCTGCACTGGTTTCCGAGAAAACTTGACCCCATTCAAGTCCGACAGATGGACAGACACCAAACCTATGCACCCACAAAGACCAGGTTGTCAACTGGTGCCTTTCTTATATTGGTTGTTTAGAATTTATATTCTTTCACTTTGCCGTGGCAACAAGTTTCGCTTTGACTCAGTTCATACTGGCGTGTACATGAGATAGAAATACAATGTTGCGAATCCCACCTGATTTCATGGTGTTGTTTTGATAGCTCACTAACTACTCGAGTATACAGACATAGTAGATAGACATTCTCTAATCAAGTTGGACTTAATGTAACAGTCAGATGATTTGTTCTCTGGAATCTGTGGAGGTCGGTGGATTTGTCATCCTCTTATGACTCTTGTTTTACTTAAGGGACAGTTCCAAATAACGCCCAAAGGCCAGTCACGTCATCCCCTAGTTTGGGTAGTTAGCATACCTGACCTGTCACGTCATCCCCTTGTGTGGGTAGTTAACATACCTGGCCTGTCAAGTCATCCCCTAGTTTGGGTAGTTCACATCCCTGGACCCATCAAGTTATCCCCTAGTTTGGGTAGTTAACATACCTGGCCTATCAAGTCATCCCCTAGTTTGGGTAGATAACATACCTGGCCTGTCAAGTCATCCCCTAGTTTGGGTAGTTAACATTCCTGAGCCAATCAAGTCATCCCCTAGTTTGGGTAGTTAACATTCCTGGCCTGTCAAGTCATCCCCTAGTTTGGGTAGTTCACATTTGTGACGTGTCAAGTCATCCCCTAGTTTGGGTAGATAACATACCTGAGCCCATCAAGTTATCCCCTAGTTTGGGTAGTTAACATACCTGGCCTATCATGTCATCCCCTAGTTTGGGTAGTTAACATACCTGGCCTATCAAGTCATCCCCTAGTTTGGGTAGATAACATACCTGGCCTGTCAAGTCATCCCCTAGTTTGGGTAGTTCACATCCCTGGACCCATCAAGTTATCCCCTAGTTTGGGTAGTTAACATCCCTGGCCTGTCATGTCATCTCATAGTTTTTTTAGTTATCATCCATGGGCCGATCAAGACATCCCCTATTTTGGTAGTTAATATCCCTGGGCCCATCAAGTCATCCCCTAGTTTGGGTAGCTAACATCTAGGGGTCCATCATGTCATCCCCTATTTTGGGTAGTTAACATACCTGACCTGTCAAGTCATTCCCTAGTTTGGGTAGATAACATGCATGGCCTGTCATGTCATCCCCTAGTTTGGGTAGTTAACATACCTGGCCTGTCAAGTCATCCCCTAGTTTGGGTAGATAACATACCTGGCCTGTCAAGTCATCCCCTAGTTTGGGTAGTTCACATCCCTGGACCCATCAAGTTATCCCCTAGTTTGGATAGTTAACATACCTGGCCTATCAAGTCATCCCCTAGTTTGGGTAGTTAACATTCCTGGACCCATCAAGTTATCCCCTAGTTTGGATAGTTAACATACCTGGCCTATCAAGTCATCCCCTAGTTTGGGTAGTTCACATCCCTGGACCCATCAAGTTATCCCCTAGTTTGGATAGTTAACATACCTGGCCTATCAAGTCATCCCCTAGTTTGGGTAGTTAACATTCCTGAGCCAATCAAGTCATCCCCTAGTTTGGGTAGTTAACATTCCTGGCCTGTCAAGTCATCCCCTAGTTTGGGTAGTTCACATTTGTGACGTGTCAAGTCATCCCCTAGTTTGGGTAGATAACATACCTGAGCCCATCAAGTCATCCCCTAGTTTGGGTAGATAACATACCTTGCATATCAAGTCATCCCCTAGTTTGGGTAGTTCACATACGTGACAGGTCAAGTCATCCCCTAGTTTGGGTAGTTAACATACCTGGCCTGTCATGTCATCCCCTAGTTTGGGTAGATAACATACCTTGCATATCAAGTCATCCCCTAGTTTGTGTAGATAACATACCTGGCCTGTCAAGTCATCCCCTAGTTTGTGTAGATAACATACCTGGCCTGTCAGGTCATCCCCTAGTTTGGGTAGTTAACATACCTGGCCTGGCAAGTCATCCCCTAGTTTGGGTAGATAACATACCTGGCCTCTCAAGTCATACCCTAGTTTGGATAGTTAACATACCTGGCCTGTCAAGTCATCCCCTAGTTTGGGTAGTTAACATTCCTGAGCCAATCAAGTCATCCCCTAGTTTGGGTAGTTAACATTCCTGGGCCAATCAAGTCATCCCCTAGTTTGGGTAGATAACATACCTTGCATATCAAGTCATCCCCTAGTTTGGGTAGTTCACATACGTGACGTGTCAAGTCATCCCCTAGTTTGGCTAGTTAACATACCTGGCCTATCATGTCATCCCCTAGTTTGGTTAGTTAACATTCCTGAGCCAATCAAGTCATCCCCTAGTTTGGGTAGTTAACATTCCTGAGCCAATCAAGTCATCTCCTAGTTTGGGTAGATAACATACCTGGCCTATCATGTCATCCCCTAGTTTGGGTAGATAACATACCTGGCCTGTCAAGTCATACCCTTGTTTGGATAGTTAACATACCTGGCCTATCATGTCATCCCCTAGTTTAGGTAGTTAACTTTCATGGGTCCATCAAGTCATCCCCTAGTTTGGGTAGATAATATACCTGGCCTATCATGTCATCCCCTAGTTTAGGTAGTTAACTTTCATGGGTCCATCAAGTCATCCCCTAGTTTGGGTAGTTAACATACCTAAGCCCATCAAGTCATCCCCTAGTTTGGGTAGATAACATACCTTGCATATCAAGTCATCCCCTAGTTTGGGTAGTTCACATACGTGACGTGTCATGTCATCCCCTAGTTTGGGTAGATAACATACCTGGCCCATCAAGTCATCCCCTAGTTTGGGTAGTTAACATACCTGGCCTATCATGTCATCCCCTAGTTTGGGTAGATAACATACCTGGCACATCAAGATATCCCCTAGTTTGGGTAGTTAACATACCTGGCCTGTCAAGTCATCCCCTAGTTTGTGTAGATAACATACCTGGCCTGGCAAGTCATCCCCTAGTTTGTGTAGATAACATACCTGGCCTGTCAAGTCATCCCCTAGTTTGTGTAGATAACATACCTGGCCTGTCAAGTCATCCCCTAGTTTGGGTATGTAACATTCCTGGCCTCATGAAGCCATTCACTTGGGACTTGGGTTCTCAGTACTCTGTTAAAGTGTGACTTTGCTGTTTGTGTGACATCTTGGTTGTCTTATGAATAGAAGCTTAAAATGTGTAATTTTTCATGACACAAACTTGAAATAAAAAACAAAGTAGCACTCTTTATATTTAATTCATATTTGTTTTGCAAAATATAACTCAACCAAATTTGCAAATAATAATGCACATTCACAATGCAATCCCAATTTCATCTGAAGGAAAACATGAACAAAATGTTCCAAATGTAAACTTGGATATGTTCCAATCCATTCTCAGATCCTCAGGGTAAACCATAACTCTATTCTCATCAGTTCTTGATGCCATAAGGTTTAGTGAATGAAAAAAAGGATGTTCCAAATAAGCATGTTTTCAACCACAGCACTTATTTACTTTTGCCAAATTTAGGGCAGTTTACTAAACACAAGCAGATAAACATCTCCAAATTGTTGATATTGTATTAAGTATTACATGATGAAAGTATAATGTTGAAATCTAAGCACTTCAGAACATTGGAGTAAGTTTCAAAAGAATTATGAGATATTGTGCAATAGCAATCTACAGTCTTTCCTTAAAAAGGTGTTGAAATTTAACAAAAGGGTTATTCTGAAACATATTTCATAACTTGACAAAAGGGCAAGTGAAAATATGATCATGCACTTGTGGATCAACCAAGGCGCACTGCACAGCAGACGGGACACACACTCATCACTTCGTAAATGTCTAGAAGCAGGACATATTATGCATGTACTTTCACAAAACCATGAGGGCTAATTATCATTATTACCCATTATTACTTGGATAGAAATTACCGAGTTGATAAAAACTGTATGGGCACTGGTGCAAATATCACTTCCTGCACACCAGTGTATTGTTTCCGTCACCTCGACATTGTTGATGTCATTTGAATTGTACTGTCAAGTTAGGCAGAAGTGTCCACACACTAGAAAAAAACATAGCTGAAGACTGTTGACATCATTTGACAATTGTGGTTTTCTAAGTTGGTGGTCATGATCAGTGCATTTTTCTACAAGGGAGCCCTAAAGGATTATGAAATAATGGGTAATAAAGAAATTATTACACTTGCATGTGTGTAATACTGATTTTACAAAACGTGTAAGAATCCATGTATTACCCACACTCTGGTTTGGGCAATACGAGAATTCAGACACTCATTTCGTAAAATCAGTATGACACACATGCTTGTTTAAAAATCTCTATAACTTGACCATCAAAGAAAACACCGTAATGCTTCTAGTTCCTTCTCTTACCATGTTTACCACACATGACTACTGGACAAAGTATGGCTTGCAAACTACAGTTGGAAAAGGAAACCTTGGGAGTTCCAATCAAAACTGGAAGTCATAAACTGGGCTGTGAATGTTGTCAGGATGGAAAGATTGTCAGTGTATTACAAAGATATGTAACAGGACTGTCTCTTTGACTTCTTTGAATTGTCTCTACTACATTTTATAGACTTTAATTTGTTTGCATCCAATCACAGTCTATACATACAGTCTGATGGTTGAGGCCACCTGGTTCAAATAAATCAGCAGTTACACCTTCTATAGTAATGGATGATGTGAACTACTACCTATACAATGTCTAAAAAGCAAATTAGTACCTCCCTTCAGCTCCACAGTCAATCACTGTTTATGTGTTCACTGCCTCTTGACTTTTCTTACAGTATCTACAGATTTCCTCCTTAAGTTTGGGATACACTATAAGTCAGGTTCCATTAATTCTCTAACTGTTGATCTAAAATGACTGAAGTGTACATCGAGTTGATTTCTGGGGATGTCTCCTTGACAGTAACATGATGGCATAACATTTAGTGACCATGGCACATTACGCTACTCCACTTTTTTATTAGTACTGGGACGATACACTTACTTCTCGATACAAGTATCGATCACAATTGCACACTAAGTAAAAAGTATTGATTCTTACCTTAAGTATATTCCTTAATACATGTTACACCATACACTAATTACTTGTGATGCTGAGTAGTGAAAAATGTAAATATTTTCATCAATTGCGCCATACTAACACTGCCAACTGTAAATCGTTAGTGTGCCAGATATATGGCCATCCTGTCTATTGAAAAGATGGCTTATGTGCTTAAGAGCATGTGTAAGTATTATGATACGTATCGGATCGTGAGCAAAGTATCATGTTACGTATCGGATCGCACAGATGGTGTAGCGTCCCAGCCCTATTATGTATGTGTAGAATTATTTTCTTGGCATAAGATGGTACATGCAGCTCACACACCACCTCTTTACATGAACGCATAATATGCTAAATAGAGGAACAACATCAATGGCAAGATTCACTCACAACTCAAGATATATATGTGATGGGTTACAGCTCTTTGAAATATCTGCTTCATTTTCTGACATGCAGTACAATACAATTTTCCTCTGTTATGTTGAAGGACTGTTTTAAATTGTATTTCTTAAACACGGTTTGAGCTTGTTTACTTGTAGGAAGTTTAATATAATCAAGATAAACCTCACGTCAACTAGAGGTGAAACGATACATCGGTGCACCATGACTTTTCATGCAACGATGATACAATATTTTTCTCTGTAATGATACAAGATGACGCACTTGCTAAAGAATATTACTTACTACTTGTTTAAAAACTGCTTTTTTGTCAGTCAAAAATCGCAAAGCATTTATCACTATTCCCCACGCATTTGGGCACATTTGAAGTTGAAAAGCATGGAACAAGGGCCATAAAATGAGTGAATGACAAAAACTCATTTGAGATCATGACCAGTAGCATCAGTGCGTAAAACTTCATTTCTATAACTTGAATAGTTTTTGAGAAAATATGTCCACATTGAGAAGCAGACGGGCGGACGAACTCTGTTCCTATATCCCCCATCCCACTTTGTGTCGGGGGATAATTAGTGTTTCAAGGTCACTACAAAAAAAAGCCACTACGGAAATGTGTCTACAGATTGCTTTTCCTTATGAACCTGCTATGAAATATTTATTGCAAGACGTTTCCATGCGATTTGACATAAATATGCGTATCGCGATATGTATCGCATTGTGACGTATGTTTCGTGATACATAATGTTTCGTGACCTTGCTGTATCATTTCACCCCTTGATCAATGATAATGTTGAACATCTAACTGACTGTGAATTCTTTATGGAGAGATATGTTGATTACCAATTTTGATTCTGTGGTGGAAATGGTTTGTAGTGTGGATCATGTCATGGTGTGGTATATCATGATGAACTGTTTCACTCCTTTCACACCACATCACAGTTGTCAATATTTCTTTCTCTTCAGGCTTTTGACTTTGCCTCTTCCACATGCCTCCTCGGCAAGGTCACACTCTTGCTTTCTCTTCTGGCGAGTTTTGATTGTAATCTTCTGTACCTCCTGGTTGGACTTCTTACACTTTCGCCTGTGTGTGGGACCAACAGGCCCAGCAATGTCAGCCATCACATCGCTGTCACTCACCCGCTTGTACACTGTGGCAAGCCTGTTGTTCAAGTCACTGATGGAGTTCTCCAGTCTATCGATGCGGATATTCTGCTCAGATATGATTCGACTTTGTTCCTGTAGTTTGCGATCCTGTTCCAGCAGTTTCTTCTCCTGCTCCAAGTTAATCTTCCGTTGCTCCACCATCTTGTTCTTCTGTTCTGTCAGCTCCTTCTTGTAGGACTGCACACTACCACTTTGGACACGCATCTGATGCTGCAAGCGCAGGAGCTCTTGGCGCAGCGACGGCATACGAGACATTGTGGGCGTTGAGAAGTGGACCATGGAGGATGGCGAGCCTGGACAGAAAACAATATGAACACACATTTTTAGGGGTATGACTTTGAGAAAGAACTTGACTAGGGGTGCAAGGATTGGTTTCAGAAACAAAACAAGGGCAATTTCCAGCAAAATCATTAACACGATTAAGAAATAAACCTGATGACTTGATTCGTATCCTACTTTGTTATTTGACCTTCTCCTGAGATAGACTGATATTTGTTGGAATTATTTCCATGATCTTGTCTAATCTCTGAAAGAGAAGTGTTTGTCTACCTTGGTCTGGAGAGAATGGATCTGGCAAGGCCAGTGAGAGGGAGCCTGCAGGCAGCTGTTGTTTAAGTGCTGGGATGATGTGTTCTTCAAAGTGTTCCATGGCCATGGAGGAGATGTCACGGAGCTCCTGTAGGAACTCATGAGCTCTTGGTGGCTGTGAGTTCTTCTCCTGCAACTTCTTGAGGAGTGTGAACAGCTCATCCAAAACCTGGAAGCAACATGCATATATTGCCAGCTTATCCCAAAAACATTAGGTTGAAAGAGACACATTATACATTTAAACACCTCCATAACTACAGGACCCAAGAAAAGGTGGACATCATGTGGAACAAAGCCAGGAAGTCTGCATTGTAGGAAGATTGTCATCATACCACTGCAACAATGTCCCCCCAGTGTTTTGACCCATCACAATACTAGTGTAATAGTTAACATGCCCCAATATTAAAATAATCATCCATAACTATGACACATGTATTGACATTATTAGTAAACAACTAACATATAATAATAATAATAATAATAATAATAATAATAATAATAATAATAATAATAATAATAAGTTTTTAGAGAGGCTATCTGAACGACCACTGCATCGAGTTTATGTGCAGTGTGTTGAGAAGATCAGCAATCCTGCAGAGTCCTTCGTTTGGATGAAGTTGTCTGGCCTGAAAAGTGAAACAGAAGGCTTTGTTTGCTGCTCAGGACCAGTCACTTCCCACTCGAAACAGTCAACGTGTTATTTTGCATCAAAATGTAAATATGAATTGTAGATTATGTAATTTAATGAGATTGTCCAACACATTGTCATTGGATGCCCAGCTTTGGCACAAACACAGTATCTTAAATGCCATGATGGAGTGGCTTGATCATTTTATTACCGTTTTCGCCATGCGTGTGGTTTTGACACAGGTCCATCCTAGGTACGACCCAGAATATGTAGAGGGCATCATGGAAAATGATAAATACAAAATTCTTTGGAATAGGCCCATTTACAGCCCCAGACGTATCCAGGCCAACAAATCTGATCTTGTCCTTTTTGATAAATCCAATGAAATCATTTATATCAATGAAATTTCTGTCCCTTTTGACACTAATGTGATTGACAACATGAGGAAAAACATGGCAAATATGCGGACCTCGCTTTTGAAATGTCACACTTGCATCCCAAGTACCAAGTTGTCTGACTCCCCATTGTTCTCGGTGCCTTAGGTTTGGTACCTCCCAATCTGTTGACTGACATTGGGAGAGTACCCGGGTTTGCTACCAGGAACACAGCCCTTCTGACAATCCTGGTAATGCAGAAGGCTGCAGTATTGGGGAGTCTTCACATTCTCCGAAAAGTTCTTGGTGGGTTTGACTAGGCATCGCTTCCTGGGAGAAGCCCATTCGTTGTCTGGGCTGTGTGTAGAGGGGGCAAGGGCCCTGAGCTGATGATGACACTAACCAGCCTGACTGTGCCAGGATCACTCAATTTATTTTTAATTTTAATCTGTAAATAACAATAATAACAAGAGTTTGCCACTAACGTGGCTATATCCCCCACCCCTGTTGCAGAATTTATGACATAATTAAATCTAAACAAACCCTAACCTTTTTTAACCGAGGTGGAACTTGTCATGGAAATTGTAAAAAATAAACATTTGTAAAATTTCTCAATAGCAAAAGGCACCAGTTCAGCATGCACCTGACAGAACCTAAGTCCATCTTGTTGCCATGGAAAGGTAAAAAATAAACATTTCTAAAATTTCTCAATAGCAAAAGGCACCAGTTCAGCATGTACCTGACAGACCTGCAAAGTGTGATGAAAAAATATTGAACGGTTTATGAGTTATGCTCCGGAAACGAACCCTACCCTCACAGAACCTAAGTCCACCTTGTTGCCATGGAAACGTAAAAAATAAAAATTTCTAAAATTTCTAAATAGCAAAAGGCACCAGTTCAGCATGTACCTGACAGACCTGCAAAGTTTGATGAAAAAATTTGAACAGTTTATGAGTTATGCTCCGGAAACGAAACGTGACGGACGTACGGACGGAGCCCGTTTCTATATCCCCCGCCAACTTCGTTGGGCGGGGAATAATAATACAATAATTAATAATAGTCTTCCTCATTTTCAAAGTATTATGGGTCTAAAAAAGTCACATCTCTACCTTTACTGCAACACAAACTCTATAAATTTGGATATCCATGATATAACTTATCCAGACACAACACTTAGCAATTTCCTTCTGAGCTCTGACCCTACAATAGAGAGTCCGAAACAATAATTGAAACATGCCTCTGCCTTCTCCGGGGTGTCTGTCTCTGATCCCTTCACTGCCTTTTCATCTATAATGGGCTTGATCGTCAGATGATGGATGGATGGATGGGTGGGCTTGAGACTTTGTATCAGGGTAAGTATACTAATACATGTACCATGAATATCCAACTTCATGTACATTTTTTCTTATCCTCACACTGCACTTATCTCACAGATGATGGCGGGCCCTGCAGCTTGTGGTATTGGTAACCAGGCGGACTATGTCTGGATTAGACTATGTTTAGCAGGGCACCCTCTTCACTGATCCTGTATCACCTGTAACACTCTTACTCTAACATGCTGCAAAGCTATGCTCCATGGTCGAGTACCTGTGCGGCTTCTAATACCATTGGAAATAGTGCATAACAACTCGAGCCCAACAATGCTTCAGAATATTTATTGAGCCACATAGGACACAAGGAAAATATCTGGCAATGCCCTGAGCAGTGGCTTATAGTGATCGACTTCTGGAGGACCGGGGCTCCAAGTTGAAGCCAGTACAACAAATCCATGGCATGTCATGGCTCAGTGATGACATGTTGTGCTAAGTTGAAACACACAGCAGTTTTTCAGAGATTATATGTTCGAAAATGAGCATTTCTTATTAAATGCAATGTTTTTATACTTACCTGACGCTACACAGTGCTTTAGCTTCCCTACCTTATACAAACAGACAGTACTGGAACAAAGAGACAGTTTAAGCAGACTACAGCCTGTGCCTAGGCATCCACGAGTTGTCCCCCTTGGCCCCTACTCCTCATATTCTTCACTGGATGACATCAGACGTAGAGTACACAGTGGCACCAACGGTAAGGCGGAGGAGGAGGACAGCGTCTGGGTGGGCCTATAGGTGTAGCATCAGGTAAGTATAAAAACATTGCATTTAATCAGAAATGCTCATGTTTTAACTCACCTGATGCTACACAGTGCTTTATTCGACTGATTGAAGGCGGGCTTACCGTGAGAAGCGCCAGGCACCCTGAAGAAGCACAACTAAACCGTCTGGCAGGAAACCCAGCGTGCGCCAGCAAGGTAGTGTCTCCCATAACGGCAGGCAAGGGGATAAGATGATGCAGGTCAAGCCCTCTCGGAACAGAATGGTCGTCTGACAGTAGAGAGAACAATGCTTGACAGAGGGTAAAAGTAAGGTATCCGGCTCAAAATGAGGGGGAAAAACGGGACCAAAACTTTACTAGGTACCGACATAACAGTACCCAGCAACCCAAGAGGAACAGCACAAAGGATGGTCCTACCTTGGCAATAGGCGTCAGCTGGGCCAGTGGGGCCGCAGACAGCCACGTTCCTCGGAACCTCTAGTGATCTTGAGGACAGTTAATGGTGTCGGGGGTTGGTCAGCTGCTGGGCCAGGACAAGTGGTCCAAAGCTATGCCTACCCTCGGCATCCTCCACCGAAATGTTGCAAAGATAATGGCTGGTGAAGACAGTAGTAGATGACCAGAAGCACCCCTCCATGATGGATCGGACGGAGACTTTAGCATGGAGGGTCAGCGAAGAAGACGGCACAGATCTCATGTGGATTGGAGGCTGTTGGTGGTGGTAAGTCAGCACAACGATAAGCCCTCTGGACCGAACTGGGCAGAGGGCGAGCTCCAGGTCATCATCCGGGCCGGCGATCTCCGAAAGAGACGGGACGTGAAACTGTCGATCGGGTTGGCCGGGCAGTTGGTTTTTGGCAATAAAGTCCTAACAAAGGCCAAGGTGAACCAAACCGTGAGGACGCTGGTTGAACCGGACACGGGTCACATCCAAGGCACGAAGCTCGCTAACCCTGGCAGCTGTTGCAAGGGCCAGGAGAAAGCAAATCTTCAAGGTGAAATCTTCAAACGAGACGCAAGTGGCTCTTACAGAGCCTGGCGTGAATCCTGCAAAACAACATTGAAATCCCAACCGATGATAGGCTGGAACCTCTAGCGATCTTGAGGACAGAATTGAGGGCAGCAAGATAGGTCGCAATTGTGAAACCAGCCAGATGATGGGATTGGCGAAGGAAAACCCAAAAGTCAGCCACTTGTGGAACGGTAGCCTTCACTGGAACGATGTGCCTGGACAAGCAGAAGGCCTGGAACGACCGCCACTTGTCATCATATAGGGAGCAAGTGGAGGAACGTTGAGCTCTGGAAACAGCCGCCGCAGCAGGAGCTGAAAAACCTTTAGCGATCAGTGACTTCTGGAGACACGCTAAACGTGGTGAGAGGCCTCAAAGCTTGTCATAGAGGAACCACTCAAGACGTTCGATGTGACTAGCCACCACTCCAGGAACGGATGTAAGTCCCTTGGCAGAGGAAGAAGGGGTACAGACAGATCTCTGTGCAGAAATGGCAGGAGAAACTGCTGAAGGGGACGCAGTTGAAGACGACCCCTTGACGTCAGATCCTGAGCTGAGGACAACAGCCTGAGAAGGCTCTGCCACTGACGGAGATCGAGAGGTTGAGAGAGGGCTCTCCTCACCCCAGAACTTGTATCAAGGAGAGGTCTGTCAGAAAGAGATCGTCTATGAAAGTGAGATGGCGAGAGGGAGTCAGATCCGATTTCTTCATATTGATGATCCAACCCAACCGATGGAGGAGGCAGAGGGTGAAATTGCGCTGAAGAATCAAGGTTTGATTGACGCCGTGACCGAGGATGCAGTCGTCGAGGTAGGCTCCGAACCGAATCCCCCTGCGGCGAAGGAACGCAACAATGGGATGGGTTATACGTGTGAATAACCACGGAGCCGTGGAAATGCCAAATGGAGGCATTTTCCACTGAAAGTGCTGGCCCTGAAAGATGAAGCGGAGGAAACGACGATGTGCCATCTCATTAAAATCAGACCTCAGTTCTCGCTACCCCTAAACAAAGGTCAGAGGACATCCCATTAGGGGTCACGTCAGAACGACCTTTCATCCGACCAATCAGAGCATCGCTTACCAGATTATGAAAGTGACAGTCGGAATGTGTTTTCTGATCATGCACCCTCAAAAACTTTAACTCAGAACGATAGTTACGGGTTTAACGACTGTATTCATACAATCTAGACCAGCCAGCAGAACTGATGATTATATCATCAGTCATCAGTCCATTAGTCATCACCAACTGGTGTCAAATAGACCTTTCAAGGAACTGTTGAGACTGCAATGAAACCAAATCCGATTTTTCAAAGTTGATCAGCCCTGCAAGCTGGGACAACAGGTGCCTGGAAAAAGCAATGTGTTCAACTAGAACCTTGGGACCCTGGTCACTGAAGATGCAGTCATCTATGTAAGAGTGGAAGCTGATATCTTTGTTTGATTGTTTATTTGTTATTTAATGCTGCACTCAGCAATATTCCAGCTATATGACAGCGGTCTGTAAATAACGATGTCTGGACCAGACATTCCAGTGATTGATATCATAAGCATCGATCCACATAATTGGGATACAATGACATGCAACCAAGTCAGCAAGCTTGACCACCCGATCCTGTTATTCGCCGCTTACAACAAGCATAGTCACCTTTTACAGCAAAGCATGGGTTGCTGAAGACCTATACTAGCCCCTATATTTACAGGACAGAAGCTGACATATCCAGCAGTAGCCTTCCTGCACAGCAGGGAAGCTGCCATCAGCTGCCTGAAAATGCCAATTGATAGCCTATAACATCCAGAAGATGCCCAGTAGATCATTAGGTGGCCCATGCGGGGTTGAACGGAGCTCCTATGTCATGAAGTGACTGAAATGAGACCAGGTCCCAACTTCTTGGTTTAATCTATCATCAGTTTCACAAACAGGAACACTCAGTGGTATGCCTGTATGAGAAACATTCTTCCTGCTGACAGTCATTCTTGTCAGTGTCCAACTTGTCTGAAAAAGCACTATAAGGTTGTTAAGTTGGCATATACCACGCAATATCAGAATGGAATGGGCCATGTATCCCTCGCACAATGACAGCTCACTTCTAGGCCGTTTACAACAAGACAACACATTGCAACAGGTCAAGTCTGCTCAGCGCTTCCTGGCATGAGCTGATCATGCTGAGCCTCTCAAGTCATACCATATTTTCTTGAGTATAGTGTGCACTTTTTTCCCAAAAAACACAGCTGTGTAGAAGGGGGTGCGCATTATACACAAATTATGAGTTTGGATGTTTTTTCCCCCATGGAAAGACATTACTGTGAGCACGTAACACCGGAAATACCATGTCAACAAATCAATACTGAAGTTCGCAAATTATTCATGTAATTACACTGTCTGGCTATAAAAAGTGTTCTTTGTATATCTGGACTTATGTTTGTAACTTACTTCATTAATTTTATTCAAAATTCCTTTTAATATTGTTTTAATTAATTTCGGCAAAATCGTGTGTGAAGCAATCGGAAGATCGCACAACTCACCGTTATTAACAGCAACCACGGTCAGATTACCGCTATTGACACCTTGAAACGAAGTTTAGTTGACAGAGAATGGATACATATATCATAAATGCCATACTTTGATTCGTTAAAAGTAAAATTGTTTTGTTGGACGATTCTGTGTCAACACGTAATTCTCGCGATCATGCGATCACTTGCACGGGACCCTTGACGGTGACTGTTCAGACTGGTTCCATGTAAAAAATAATACAAGGCAATAGCGATCAGCTGCTTCGCTTAGGGTTATTATTATTTTAAATATGTTTAGTAAAAGCTGCATCTAAATTAACAAGATATTGGAATATATTATTCCTGATAAAAAAATAGTTTCAGATACAACTTTTGCCGATCCTTGCATTAAAATACTGTAAAGTTATATCATTGGGTGTGTCTTGACCGATTCACCGGTAGATTCCAAGAAACCGTGTGTACAGCTGAATGCTGTGTCTGGCTTAGTTTACGAGAAAATACACAAGGTAATCTTAATCCCTTGATATAAAACAATGCCTAGCTGAACGAAAAATACAATTTAAACGGTAAATCAACATGTCTGGTGATTTTTTATCTCAAATTTCGAATTTGTACTGACAAAGTTTCTCATCACCCGTTCGTTTGCCGGACTTCGCTGAAGGGGTACGGTGTAAATTTTTTCTGCGCATAATATTCAAATTTCTTTTTTTTCCCAAATATTGAATCCGCTAGAGGGGGGTGCGCATTATACATGGGTGCGCACTATACTCAAGAAAATATGGTAGTTAACGGAAGATGCTGACATTAATCTGCCACCAACAAGAGACAATATTTCTGTGACAGTCGGTGACTACAGACGCCAATTGTCCTGTACTGGCAACAAGTCACTTATTAATACATAAGTCATTGCCTAGTCTCTGATTAAATTGCAGGGGAAGAATCCAGAGAGCACATTGACACCTGTGGAATGTTATCATTTGAGACACCAAACAAGGCGCTAAGGTTGTCGAGGTAGTATATCCCCACTTTAAAGAAGTCATCACTGGTTGAACCAGCGCCAGGGAACGTGCCACTAGAGGAACTGATGTCAGTACATATCAAGATAGACGTAGAAAGTGTAGTCACTAACTAGTTAACCATTGCCAGTGGAGTAGCTGCAAAGAGGCGACTGTCGCACAAACACCCAAGTCGATGCAGGCATCGCCCATCCACAATGTGGAGGAACCTGTGGTGACAGGTTATAAAACTATAGCAGCCCTGGTAGTAGTAACATGGAGAAGGATGTTTATGCTGATAGCCTTACACCATAGTGGTGTTGTTTCGGTAAACAGTTGGATCCCACACCGAAATAGGCTGTTTGAATCATCAGCTCTTGATTTCTTTGGGTTATGTGGCTCCAACCCAATGCCTACTATATATGACCATCCACCTTGGTGGAGGTTGACTCTGCAGTCAGTAAGCCATGGGCCACATCCAGGGATGCAGCAGATTCTGATGGACACCATCAGACGTAGGGTAAGAGCTTGCTTGTGGCAAAGCGCCTGTTCCACGTCCAATGCTTATGTGTCTGTCAAAGTTAATGCTGTCGACTGCTACTTGATCTGTGCCATTCTATGGAAACAAAATAAAATAATATTCCCAAGACACAAGGTAATATAATATGCAAAAGGCTAAATGAAAACATCCCGCATATGTAGCATCCTCCAAAAAGGGTACCTGATATAGAAGCGTTCATTTAGAACTTCAACAAATCATAAAAACGAGGAAATAGAATCCAAATTGCAAACACGCATTTATCACAGTGTGCTATGAGAAGGAAGTGAATGAATCAGGGACAGATAACTCCTAACTGGTAACCAAGGACAAGGAGCGCCCCAGAGGAGGAAGAAGCGCGTTCTAGGTTCTGTGTTTTAGAATCAAATTTTAAAAGGAAATTGAAAAGTGCTGAGTCAGGATAATAAAGATCTTATTTGTCTCCAGTTGTATGGTTGATAAATATTTGTGACTGAATATCTTTTGACTACACACTAGGCTCTTGGCATACTGAAAAATTTCTAACAGGTAACTATGGATGTCCATTAGATTGCATCAGATTAAATGGGCTCTGCTGCAAGTACTATCTGATGTCATGTTACGACTTGTCATGTAATAATACTTGATGGTAATAAGGAAACTTGCCGTTCATTGTTCAAAGTAAAATTAACAACAGTTTAGAGACCTGTGTCCTGTTCCACAAAGCGACCTTAACACTACAACGATCTTAAGCTATTGTTAAAGTATGGGAGTTACGATCACCTTTGGCTATGAACGCTTTGTGGATCATGTCTCTGGCATACCTTAAATCTTACCTCAACCCAGCATAAATTGGCATACTTCCTATTGATGACTCCCCACTGCAACTCACCTTGCCTGGGATGAAGCAGCAGAGGCCGTGGTCTATGTACTTGGAGTAGGTCATGGACAGCAGGGACAACCTTGTCTCCACTGCCGACAGGATGTCAACATGGCGGGACAGTTCGTGGTTGCGTCGCTCCGATTCCCGACGCGGCAACTTGGACTTGACCTCCTTCTGTATCTGTGCATGGAACTTGTCAATTTGATTGAAGCCCTGTGTAAGCAGTTCTTGGCAGCAGCGGTTGAAGTACTGGCACACCTGAAGCAATCCCAGATCTGTCCGTCATCACAGAACTCACCACAAAGGGTGGAAACTCACAACACGATTTGAACACTTCTTTCAAATCCTATACTAATGTCCAATCAAGTTATTTATTTTCAATTTGACAAAAAGAGTCATTAACATCCATTATAGAAACTTCGGTGCAACTGATTTTGAGAAAAGGAGAAAAACTATATCTTATCATGTTTACTTTAGTGAATTTATATGAATGAAACAGTAGATGGATCAGATATAAATCTACTTTCAGATCACAATGATCTTAAACATTACTGATTCTCCTTGGTAGGAACATAGATGCCAGATTTCATCAGTTCAGCATGGATCATCATCTATTGTATTGAGAAAACGTCTAAAGTTTAATTGGTTTCCATAGAAACCATATTGAAAAGGCTACTTTTGACCTTCACTTATAGTAAATATTGTGATGAATTGGGTGTAAGGTGCACCTCTGTACATTTTCATTCCAGCCTACAAATTTTTCTTCAATCTGAAATACAGTTTGGTTTCTACTTTAAGTTTATACAACAGTGGTAAAATGCAGCTCTAAGTCAACTTCAAAGTTCAATATAAATTGCTTAAAACTTTAACTTCTACCCAAAGAGAAGATTATAACAAGAAACGAAATGTGGAATTAGCTGGCAAGGAACCCCAGGTTATTTTGAAAAACTATAAAAAAATGTAGATGTCCTTCAGGAATCTCCAATGTTGTTACACCATAGCAGTGGCTTGGTCATGTTTAAATCTGTTCTGAGAAACACACTGACAGTGATTATGACTCTGATAACAGATACACATGATGGGGATCCAGCTTCCTCTACCGCAGACATAGGAGATGATCTTAACATGCCTTTCACTGATGATTTGAAAAATAATAAAGCCCCGGGATTACACTGTATTGTAAGTGAGTTTATGAAATCAACAAGACATTACATTACACCTATTTTTAAAAAAGTGTTCAACAGAATTCTTTATACTGGTGTTGTTCCAGAGGAATGAGGATGAACCAGACAATTACATTCATATCTCTCACTCACACCATGATCTGTTGTAGCCTTTCAACAGAGAGAACCACAATGTACTTTTTAAATATTTGGATCGAGTCGGAATAAATAGGAACTTTCCCTGATTATTAGCTTTGATGTACTCTTAAGTTGTTTGGATGTTTTCTCAGTTGAATACCTCCCTCAATACCCTTCTAAGCGCCAACGGCAGGAACACTACCAAACCACAACAGCCTAAAGGTGTAGTTGATAAAATTGACTGCAACTGTGGACAATCCTAAGTAGGTGAAACATCCCGCCCCATCAACGCCAAAATCAAAGAGCACAAAACCTCAACCATTAAATCAGATAGTAAATCAGCCATCTCGAACCATATAAGCAAATGCTTCAATCCTAACATCAACTGGGAAAATGTCCAAATCCTCTCCAACAACCTCCATGACTTCACTAAAGGAAAACTAACAGAAGCAGTCCACATTCGCCGCCACAAGCCATCAATCAACAGAGATCAAGGCTATTTCATCCCATCCGCCTACTATGAACTAATTAAGCAATAATCACCACACCTATGTGAACTTATCCTGTTTTACTGGCTTCATGTCTCATTGGCTTCCACCTATGTGTTCTCTGTCCATCATATTGTGACAGTATTATCCTTCTGTTGACATTACCTACTCATGTTATCCCACTCATGCATGCATTTGCTGTTACTCTGTACTATGTTCCTCATTCAGTCCTGCTTGACAACGGTATTAGGATCCATGCCGAAACGTCGCCTATACAGTATTAAAGAAGTTGTTATCCATAAATTGTGTCTACTTTGTCATCCGTCAACTTCTAAGTAATGCCCATCAAACAATTCATAAGTTATCATTAGGTGTTTGAATGGAGGTTGTTTTTTTCTGATTGTCTCACCTGTAATGTCCAAAACTATTTATTATCTCTTTAAATGAATGCACAGTGATGTTGGAACAAAATGGTGGTCAACATGGTCAAGGCATAATTATTATTAGTGACATACCACATCTATTTTCATTTTCATAGACAGACACTGTATCGACTACTGTGGACAGTGCCTTACAGCAACAACGTAAAATAGTCATTCTTAAAACGTTTTGTGAATCCAGTGCAATGGAAAGTATTTAAATAAAACACAAATATTTGTGTTTCCAAGACGCGGAATATCCCAAGGCTATGAAAAATGCTTTATCAAAGGAAAAAGAACTGAAGTTGTGAATTTTTATAGATTGTAACAAATAGTTTTCACTTCAAGTTGTCATGGAGCAAAACATTCATCAGTCTTACAGCTCAAGCAAACAAATCAATCAGATATTTCAACTACTATGAAAAGAATAATAGATTCATATAATTCCAAGACATCTTAAAATAGTTGACAGCGTTATCATTGAGAGCTTGTGTTACAGACATTAAGTTCTGAGGACAATGTACAACAAGTTATTTGAAAATGTCCAATATCTTTATGTAAATGATGTCTTCATCCCTCTCATAATACACTAAATAACATGGTACTTAGGGAATATGGCAGACTCCCTCTGCAGTCTATATGACAAGGGCAATGAAATATTGGTGCAGATTTCTTCATCTTGACTCTCACAGATTACCTGGTCAAGCCTTCTTATGTTAGAAATCACTTGATGTGGACAGAGTAACATGGGCAACATCAATTACAAACATTTTTTTTCTGTTTATGTTTTGGACGGCTCTGGATACAAGAAATCAGGAGTAAGACATTATTCCTTTTTGAATTTCTTAAAAGACTATCGGCCAATCACTATCAAGACTGGCATTTAGACAATCACTATCAAGACTGGCATTTAGACAATCACTATCAAGACTGGCATTTAGACAATCACTATCAAGACTGGCATTTAGACAATCACTATCAAGACTGGGATTTAGACAATCACTATCAAGACTGGCATTTAGACAATCACTATCAAGACTGACATTTAGACAATCACTATCAAGACTGGCATTTAGACAATCACTATCAAGACTGGCATTTAGACAATCACTATCAAGACTGGCATTTAGACAATCACTATCAAGACTGGCATTTAGACAATCACTATCAAGACTGGCATTTAGACAATCACTATCAAGACTGACATTTAGACAATCACTATCAAGACTGGCATTTTCAATCGAATTACCTTTGAATTGAGTTATGTTCAGGTCAAATCTATGCTGACCACAGAACATTATTTAACAAGTGAAATTCTACATTACATTAAGATATATATATCTTAATGTAATGTAGAATGTAGAATGTCACTATATATATGAAACTTTAAGTGTAATTATTTCAATCCCAAACTGGAGCTTGAAAGACGTAGTTACACTCCTCATAATAAATGATTATGTGATTTCTGTATCGCCAAAAACTGTAAATATATTGAAGATCAAAACCATGTGATGTTTATGTGAACAAAATGTCAATATGAGCAACACGTGTGTCCATGGGAGTGTAGTAATTTCATCGTCATGACCTGCATGTGCACAACATGCATAACCCACTCTACCTTTAACACACCAAATATGTCTTCCCAATTTCTGTGCACTGCCTGCTGTCTCAAACTTTCAACTTATTCTGGATGACCTACCTTGAGGGCTGGGACAGGTAACTCAGGTACTCGGGGTGGGTGAGTACTGAGTAGGACCTGGGTACCCATAGGATCAACCGGACCCGTGGTTAGCCACATGATACATTGTTTAATATAAAAAAAATATCTAGAACTCCACGGTTACACTTCAAGTAGTCACTAATGTTTGCATTTCTTTCTGACTAATCATGCATTTTTTCTGACTTTCATCTGTTTGAATAAAGATAAAGCTTCAGCCAACTTCTGTGTTTGCATGACCAGATCTTTTCATAGTATATCTAAATATCTATTGTCAGGGCTCTGGTTAAATAATTCCCAATTGGACATTCTGCATTCATCTCTTGAGACCTACAGCAGGTACATAGGTAGGGTCGGGTAATTGGGGTTTGGGTACCTCGCTAGTAAATTTGGACTCGTCCCAGGCCTACCTACTTTTTTCATAAATGAAATTGTTACATACTTTACTCCAGCTTGCGTGAACTATCATGCTTTAATGTATTACGTCCAGTGGCCAGTTATTTCTGTGTTTCCATGGCAACCATATCCAGAACATGTATTTTTGTTATGCCAACTAACTTGTATGAATTAGATGCATGTAATCTCATGAGATTTTCTACTATAAGCTATACATTTGAACATGTGAAAATATGAGGTATTAACTGTTGATAACAATGATACTTTACCTCCATGTTTGGGTTGCCATATTACACTAAAAATTAAAATGCAAAGATGACGTTCCTCCATTTCCCACAGCTACCTAACAGGTTATTGTACTGCATGTGTGATACTGGTATATTGACCGATTCAAAATATCAGGACTAAAAATAAAAAAACAAAACAATGAAATGCTATGGTCATCAATAGAATATAGAATATTACAAACTCAACACCATTACAATCCAAAAACCATGTCATTTCATTGGTGTGATGTAGCCTAATTCAAATACACTGGGTTGTCACTAGAATCTACTCGTTTCTAAGGCAATTCGATCCGTTCGTGATATTAACTTACATCACAACATTTTTACGAATATTGCTATTCTATTTAGTTTTTTACTCAGTATTCTTGTATGACATTTTCCCTTTATTATACGGAAAATTATCCCAATCGCAGAATGTTCGCCCACATTTTGCAACATTGTACATGTATGCTCGAGTTGAATCACATTTAGGTTGCACTGTGAGCGAAAACAGAAGGTCTAAGAGCCCACGGGCTTCTCTCGTTTTTACAAACAACTATAACACAATATGCATACCCGACGACCCTCACTTATTTCATGGTAAGTGAGATAAGACAGCACATTCTGTATAATGTGTTCAGGTAACTGAAAGAGTGGACTGAATCTCTCTTCCGAGCTGCGAGATGGCTCAGCCATGATATAAATTATTTGAAGGGGGACAACTCAATGTGATTCATGAAGTCTGTGTTTTATTTTTATATGCCCTCAACGCAAGCGTAGTCTTTAAGTTAGTTACTAGACCGATCTAGTCGGTTTCTAGTTGTCATGCTCAAATATGTCTCAGTGTAGTTTTTACACAAGTAGATAAAACAGCTAAAATGGTGTTATCTTCTACACGGGTTTCTAGTTCTTTTTTTTAACGGGTTTTAACCAGAGACCGTATAATAGATTATTATATGGTCTCTGTTTTAACTAAGAAAAGACAACCGTAAAGTTCCCGTTTTAATTAACAATCACATCATTTTTTTCTAATTGTAGATTATTGTTCTGGTTGTCTTTTCTATACACCTAAAAAAGACGGCCTGAAAAAAAACATGCAAAATTGTTATGTAATTGTTAGAAATTTTCAAAGTGAGTTTTTCGTTTAAGCTACATCTAACACGATATATTGGAACATGTTTAATAGTTTCAGATACAAGTTATTCCGATCATTGTCATAACCAGGTGATAACAGGAAATACAACTAAAATGGTAAATTATCATGTCTATAGTGATATGTCTCGCAGTTTTCATTGAGCAATTTTCTCGAGTTCACCTGAAGTGATACGATGTAGGTTTTGACTGCACACAATACACAAAATAACAATTTTCCCAAAACATCTACCCCAAAATGTTAACTGCGCGTTATAGTCAAGAGTTGCTTCCTTTGCATTGACAAATCGATTGATATTATACTGTACAGGTTGGTCGTCGAATTATTAAAAAAAACAATTAATCATTTTTCATGTTATTTTCGGAATCAGGAAATATCGGTTGGGCGGATCACACGAGGGAAAAACCGGTGTGGTCTTATTTAATGTTTGATGTACAGGTGTACTTTGGTGAACAGGTAAATGGGCAGCTATCATCCATATATATACACATATATATATAATTTATACACAAGACAGGCTGTGGAATAATAATGTCAACAGTATATATAGCATAGACATTGATAAAATATACCCTTTGTAAGGACACGTCTTTCCATGACTAACACTATCGTGCTTAATCATATGGCTTAATCGTTGTTAATAAGACTTATTACCAGTTTCTTATGCTCGCATTCATAATACAATGATAAGCAATATCATTGAATGCTAATGAAAATAAAATGAGAAACAAAAGGTTCTTGTTGCATTAAGTGTTTAAGAGGTCGCCTTCTGTCTTAGCCATTTCGGCTGACCTGTCCCTCCTAAGGACTCGTGGGTGAATAGGTACACCTTTATATTGGGAGTCTTAGTATTGGTAAGATTTTTGTTTTTGTATTGATAAGATTTGTATTGATATGAATTGATTTTTATATTTTTAGAAATTGGTAGAATTTCTTTGGCTGCTCTAATGATATACGTCCGAGTAGCTGACCATCTTTCAGAAATAGAGTTAGTTTGGCCTTCAATAGTTCAGGAGATCCACGACAGATGGCGGATCTAATTGTTTTTGAAGTGGTTCTTTATGGAGAAGAGAAGAGAAGAACAGAGAAGAGAATTCGTGTTATATCAGCTCAAGGCCTTAGCTTATTGATAAAACACATTCAAATAAATAAGAGCACCACAAACGTAATGTGATTAAATGTTGCACTAGCGAGTAAAATGCTCAACACTTATTTATCACACAACTAATTATAAAACCTGGTAGTAGACTAGTATCTGGTAGGAAGGAATTCCGGCCCCTGTTTGTTCTCAACATCGGCAATCGTATCGGCGGCCAGAAGAAAGAACCTGGTGCCGAATGTAAAACAGGCGAGGTATCGCTTAATACTTCATTTGCTTTATTAATTATTTTGCGTTTCCGAACCAGCTAGATCTGGCGGTGCATCAGAACCAGCTACTTGCAGGTGGATGTAACGTCATTCCCAATCCACTTTTCCGAAACAGTCAGTAAAACGTAGAACTGCTAGATCAGCAAGGTCTGCTTCTTCAAGAGCATGAAACCACACGTCATCAATGTCACATAGTCTCAACAAGGGGCAAAACACAAGCACGTTGAGCAGCATGGTTTACAGCTGGGTCAGTTGAACATCTTGATTGCACTTCACCATATGGCTTGTCTATACTGGAACATACAGCCTCTCATACTGGAACATACAGCCTTTCAGTTGAACAGCAGCTTGATGCGGTCATATTCAAGGATGAGTTATGAAGACTTGAGTTGGAGGGTCCGGAAAAAGTTGTTGTCATAGATAGATGTCACAGATTGGACTCGGTAGTGAAAATGAGAATCTCGTCGGAATGGAATAGGAAGTTGTCGCTGTTGGATGTCTGAGTGCAGATCTGGAGAAGGTTGATGTCTGATCGCCTTTGTGGCAGTGGATGGAATTTCTTACCTCTGAACGTGTACACGAGGGCCTGGGTGCTGTAAAATGTAGGTGCTGCTGGTGTTGCTTCTGCTTAAGTCGATTGCAAAAATATTCTTGAAAACTAGGAGACCGCTGGCGAAAACATACACGCTGGTCAACTAACAAAAATGGCGCTTTCCGAAAGGACCGATCTCGATTGTTAAATCAGAAATTGAAAGTTTATAAAGAAACATTTTCGAGAGAATAACAAACGGCAAGGAGTGATATTAACTCCATAAATGACCATCTGTCATTATTTTGCTTTGTCAATGTGGAGTGAGTTTGATTTTACGCCGCTTTTAGCAATATCACGGCTTGGGACACCAGGAATGGGCTTCACACATTGTACCCATGTCGGGAATGGAACCCGGGTCTTCGGCGTGACGAGCGAACACTTTAACCACTAGGCTACCCGACCGCCCCCATAATGTGTACGAACACTGAATTTTTGAATGCGATTATTGTCCTTGTTCCACTCCCCCTGCGTGGGTATCATCTCATGATCCAGTTTCATCGATCGAGGTAATGTGTGCGTGCGTGCGCGCGCGCTTTTGGATGAGTATGCATGTATGTGGGTGTGGGGTTGTGCATGCAGGGTGGGTTGAGTGGATGTGGCTTGTATGAATTTGTGGTATCGTATTGTTTTTCTGCTTGTACTGATCATATATATATTTCATCAGGTGTATAAGTATAAAATATACAAAAAAAAGTCCATTTGTGCTTGTCAAAACTCCTTTATCCACACAAGATACTACGGCTCTTCAGGTGTAATGGAAACTTTAACTTACATTGAATATAACTTTACATTACAGTAAGTTAAAGTAATATATATAGCCAGCATTATTATGATTATGATTATGATTATGATTATTATTTACAGATTACTCGATGCAGTGGTCGTTCCGATAGCCTCTCCTTTTAAAAACTGGGCCGATTTGATATGGCACTTCGCTTGGTTGACACTCATTTCTGTACCGTCCAGCAGTACAGAACCATCAACAAAATCAACACTGACACTGAGCTTATGTCCCACACCCTTGGCTCGTTTTTGAAAACTGTGGAACGCTTTGTTTTCATCATGAGTCTTGACATGCTTCACAAGGGGATCATCAGACAAATAAATGTGTGCAAAAGTGCACAAATCAATTCTATCAAGAAGAGCCCCAACGTTAATCAAACCACGTCCTCCCATAATGATTGGTAAATATAAGTGATTGAGGGAAGAGCGAGGGTGGTGGGATCTCTATTGTCTGACATGATTCTTCGTGTGAGGGTGTCAATACCCTGAATTTCTTGTTTCGTCCAACCAACAACACCAAAAGAATACGAAAGGACGGGCAGAGCAGAAGTATTTGTGGCTTTGACTTTGTTGCGAGCGTTCAGCTCTGAACTCCCAGATTTTCTTAAGTCTACATTTGTACTCTGCTCGAAGTTTTTACATGCTATGGGCATTCTGGAGTTTGTACCTAATCTGCATCCCTAAGTACGTATAGGCCTGACCTTCCACGAGATGGTGAATAACTCCTCCTCCAAGTAAACTGACTGATCCTCCCTCTTCTACCTTGCCACGTTTCAGATGAAGAATGTTGCATTTGTCGAGTCAAGAGGACATGCCGATATCATTAGAAAAGGACTCGACAAGGAGAATCTGTTTTTTTGAGTGTGGATCCTCCATTCGCAATAGGTTCAAGGTCATCCATGTAAAGGAGGTGAGTATGGGGTGTTGGGGATCTGTGCTAAGGAGGTCCGGGATGATAACCTTCCTCTTTGCTAAGCAAAAAGCTTAAAGGAATTAATGACAAACAGTAAAGCCATGGACTGAAAGAATCGCCCTGAAATACATATTTCTCTTCAAATAGAAATCGGTTCCGAAGCCACCACCTGCCCCCGCGAATACATCTCAAGTTGAGTTGACCAGCAATTCATTAAAGACTTGAGTAAAACAAGTAGTCGCCCGGGGAGGTCAATACAATCCATTCAAGCTTTTCTGTAGTCTATCCAACATTAAAGTCTATCTATAATTATTATTATTATTATTATTATTATTATTATTATCATCATTATTATTATTATACCAGCTTTGGCACAGTCATATTTTCACCTCTTCACAAACTCGAAGAAAGAAGCATTATGCAAATGATGACGTTATTTCTGTTGTGACTTTTTACACCACCAGGAGGACGCCTTCTACACCAGTGGGATCCAGGCATTCCCGTATCGTCAGAAGTGTGTGGACCTCGGAGGGGATTACGTTGTAAAATATTTAGCAATCAAATCCATCAACACAGTTCACCATAGTTAACGAAATCTGAGATTCCCTTCAGGTGTTGGTCAGTTAAAACATAGTTTAACCATGTTAAACCATGCTAAAATACGAAATATTATATGAACCAGTCATAATTTCAACCGGTACTTTTTTATTTTGGACTGGGATGACAATTGACACCAACATGAATTTTGTGTAAATAAAAAACTCAGCCTCTATCTGCTTAAAAAAATAAATTCAGCCTCAATAAAAAGTCTCGACCGCAATATGGCCATCCCCATCAATACAGAGTATTTCTCGAGTAGAGCCATAATCCTTGACAGGGAGACATTACTATGAGAAACAA